AATCATTTTGGGCTGACGGATGAGTTGTCTGTTCCGATATTAGTATGTCTACAAGTGTATGATATTATTATTACAGTTAGTCCACTTTATATGAGTAACGCTAGCAAGCGTAACATTGTTGATATAAGTTAAGTGTGAAAACTTTTGGGTCGGACTTAAACGATGGGTGTGTTTTGACCAAAAGGGAATATATAATATTAACAAATAAAGACAAAGCGTAAGAAGTTAACATATAGCATAAGGCTGAAATAGTGTTCATACAAGGAAACAAGTGCACTATCGTCGACAGTAACGACGGGTAGGAAACAAAAAAAACTCGTTATTATTGACTGTAACAAAAATAGTTAATTTTCCATCACACACAGATAGACGCACATTTATCTAGACATAAACACAACAACAATAACAAAAACACAGCTAGTCGTTTGTCTGGTGTGCAACCTTGAGCGACATGTGATGAATGGAGAATACCGGCGGTGAATCGATACTTGGTACTGTCTGATGTTGAATTTTGTTTTTTTATGAATCCATATTATTTGTTGTTTTTTTGCGATAAGATTTACGAATGTAATCGAACTGTGTGTACGTTATCTTTTCTGGTGCTTTTCTGTCTTCGTATGCCTGACGAGAGAGTGAAAAAATACACGTTACCGTTACCATGTCACCTCATCATGTTGTTAACGCGTAATGTGTGAGCTAACTGGCTACACCACAGATTTGTCACATTCGTATATTTTCGATGAAGAAAAATTCGAAAGAATGAATTATTATGAAGACGTTAACAATGTTCAAAGTATTGAACAAGACGTTACAGCAAGAGTATTAGACCGCAGGACATACGAGCCCCAATCAGTGTAGTGACAAAGGAACAGGAGCACTGAGTTAGGGACAAACTGCCGTGCGAAATGATGATACGGCAACTTATTTTGTTCCCGATTTTCAAGATCATAAATAGTGAAAGATTATGATAAATGAAGATCATTATTATGAGGAGAACTAAATCAATTGTTTTTTTTTCAAGACGACTACGGCGAAAAACAACGTTAGTACTAGGCTCTTAGTTTATCCGTTGCACTTGCATACGGTATATACAATAAATAAACAAAAATCATTTTCTAAGGTTGCACCGGATGTTTTTTCATTGTGTCACTTTACAATTATTTATTGTGCTTCTCAGATAAAAAGCTCCTATTAAGTGGCTAACCTAACACTGAGACGATCTATTTCCTTTATTTGTATGTTATACAGTAGTGCAAGTTCCCGATCACTTTAATAGAATACTGAGATCTACGAAGTTTTACCGAAGTCGCCCTTTCTTCATCTTTACATTCATCCTGTTTCTATTGAAAACCGATATTCGGCCGACAAAATGTTATCACTTTTTTGGTCAATTGAATTCGCAAACAGATTTTCGAGCTATTGATGACCTTACACGCAATCTGTTTGCCATTGTGCGAATGCTACCCTGTAATAAATGCAGCTCATCCAGAGTGTAATAAACAGATTTCGAAATAGATCCGAATGCGCCTTTAGGCTCAAAATCAGTTAAGGTTCGGCCAGCACGCAGATTGTTATTATAAATGGCCGGAGAATGGATTTTATAATCCTTGTCCTGATTAGCTTGTCAAACATCCTAATGTTGCCAGGCTCGTGAAGTTTATTTATGTGCTGATCGTCACAGATTCACTAGCAGTGTTATGACTCACACGCACTTTATAAATGAATCCGGTTTTAGGCTTATTATATACGGCAATGCGATTTTTCACATAAGGGTGCCGTATCATTGTGCATATGAATCTTTGTACCAGGAAACTATACACTGGAACATAAGCCACAATAAAGTGTTGCATTTGAATCGCTTCTTTGATAACGGGATAAAAACCGCTCCTGTACTCTTACTTCTTCATTTAGTCATACATTTTCCTGTGTTACAATAATTTTATCATTGGCGGGACGTAAAGCAACCATAAAATGTTCCATAGAATCTGCTATCTTTACAACACCAGCCATGTGCAAATCAAAGTCTAAGATAGGGCTCCCAAAAACTCCCAAATCCAACACTTACTGAGTTTCATAGATAGCGTTACCGTGAGATCGCGACCAGAAGAAGAAACAAGAAAACTTTTCGATCCTGAGATAGAATTTTTCTTGTACTCGCGTTTCGTAGCAATCGCGTCAACTGAAAATTTTTAGAACTCTATTGCCTAAAGGGTAAAATGGACTCATAATGGATGGATCGCAGGGATCATATAATTCTAAATTATCAGTGTCACCACACAGATATAATCAAGGATATGGACTTTTGGTAGGTTTTTCTGTGAAATATGTAAGTTACGCATCGGCAATTTATACATCTGTTGCTAATTCTATATATAGTTGCTTGCGCGTTGGCTGTAACCGCCATGGCGCTTCTTTCAAAGCCTCCTTTGTTGTTTCCCCTACTTGAAAAACATGTCATGTTGACAAGTCCTTGCTACTTCATCATAAGCTATTTCCTTTCCTGCTCAAACTAACTTCGTCTTTTTTTTTTGGTTCGTTAACTCTGAGTTAGTAGGAAATATAGAGATGTGTGATTTAACTTCACTGTTATGCTCAGGTTTCTAAAATTGTCTTGCAATCAAGGCGTCTTAAGCTGATTGTCTTTACTATGCTATACGATCTTTCCAATGTTAATCGAATTTAGTTATCGTTATGTTAGTTATTTAGTTATGTTAGTTATTTAGTTATCGACAACAACATGGGTTACGCTTTCCACTTCCTTCAATTACAATGTCTTCTTGTAGTAAGCGTGGATGTGTTAGCATCTAGAGTTACCGTGCTAAATTGATTGAATCAAAGCGGTTAGTAGAACCTCAAATTAATGATTTTCGAAGAGATACTTATTATAGGCCGAAGCCAATTTTTGCGAAGACCAGTTGGAATAACCAATAATGTGCAGCTGCTATGTATATAATTTATTTGTTAACGATTAAATATATCAGCAAGTCAATATATTGAGTCGGTATTCCTATTTACGTCATCATTAACCCATTTGTGATGGTAGTTGCCTAACGTGGCAAACCGCCACTGACTTGCGCAATTACGCTACTAATGCAGAACCATTTCGCACTGTGTTAGCCCGTCTAGTAAAGTTTATGCTACTCTAAGTTCTTACTTCATGTATTTCTGAGTGTCGAGTGTTGGACATATGAACCGACCTGCGCGCGCAACCTATTTAAAATCTTGCCGCTGACAGCGGGCAAATCATTCCGCGGCGTCTGCTTCTGTCGGTCTGCGTAAATAAACAATGGGCAGCTGATTTGTCGCACTGCTTAGATTTATTACCCAACACAGGAATGTATTTGTGTACTGCAGACGAGTGCTGTTACCCCTATCACTAGTACTACTGCTGCTGCCGCGATTGGCCCAGCCTTTGCCAGAACCATCACCAGCGCCGCTGCTGATCCTGCTGCCGATTATTCCTCTGTATTCATTGTTATTCTCTTGGTTTGGTTGTTGGGCTGTTCTGCTAGCCAGCTCGTTCACTCGCCTCCTCTTTGGCCCGTCGTTGGTGGAGCAGCTAGTGGACAGTGGCGGGGAGCGAGAAAACGAAGAAAAGACGACGACAACGACGCGACAGTGAGATTCGGCTGCTTTTTGTCAAAATTCATGGGGAGGCAGAAAGGCAGGCAGGCAGGCAGGTAAAGAGCGGCGACAATCGTAGTAGTACTAGTAAGGCGATGCTGCTTTATGGCAAGAGCGACAACGCGCATTGTTTCCATAGAATTGCCTGGCTGACGACGGAGCGATCACGAATTGACGAAAGTGAGCACGATCTGAAGTAGAACAAACCGGAACATCGCTGCGCTTATTCCTGAAGCTGATAGTGATATAATAGTGAATGAAGAAATAGCGGTGCGGCCGTTCTGATTACCCCTTTCTTGCTTACATCGAGAAGGAGACTGTAGTTACTTTGAGGCCAGTGGGCGAGTAACCAGACTCTAGAACGACCGGACGTGCGATCAGTGCGTCTATCTGTTTGTGTCTGTAAAGCACAAAGTGAGCATAAAGTGTAATGGACAAATGCATTCGCCCGGCTCCGAGTCACGTTAATAAGATCGTTGCATAAAGGACGAAAAGTCAGAAAATCTGCTTACCTGTCTACCATTTAAAAAGGCCGTGCGTCTGCTCGGTACTAAGGGGCTCGGTACTGACGTTCTCGGATGACCAAATCTTGAGGTGAGTTAGTGAATACACTCTCATTGCGTAACGACTGAATTATCATCTCTGGTTGTACTATATAGAGTTGCTGTATATAAGATTAGTCGTAATAAATGGCGTACAGTTTGTGTAACCTAACGAGTAATAATAATGCAAAGGTTGCTGTTACATCAGTAGTTAGCGTTGAAAATAGATACGCTTATGTGTTCACTCACTAACTGCCTACACATGGTAATTCGATTCGGATACGATTAGGTATTATGGTTAGTAGCACTCACAGAGAAATAGCAACTAGCTAAAAAGTGGCCCCGGCATAGGTCAGTGAGGATTTTACTTGCCTGAACCGAACCTTCCTCATACTGAGCAGATTGCCTTCCATATCATTGGCGATATCGTTTCTGCGGTTATCCTCTCAGTCACTGGTCATTCTAACTGTTAGCAATTCACTTTTTTGCATCTACTAACGTTACTGGTCGCGAATGTTGGATCTAGCTGCCATATATATATATATATATACAACGAGGTCTATCATGTTTGTTTTCATTTCGAACAGAGTCAACAATTTTTTATTATCGCACGGTTCATATGTTATCTTTGTGACATGCATATGATCTGTTTGGGTACAGTCATATTTTCTCAGTATTGAATATCTATATTTGGCATTTAGCAAATCTACTCACTGGAGAATCTTTAAAATCACTATTTTATCATAATGGGTTTGTAGTCATTTTCAATTTGTCTTCTGTTCATCCGACCCTATATAATCATGAACACCTTTTTAGAATGTTATATGATGGAATTTCCATACCTTTGACACAAATTTGTTCGAACTGAACTAGACACGATGGTATATTTGTTTGACGTATCAAACTTATTTATTTCTGAGGATAGTCTCGCTTACTCGCAACGGTTAACTGATCAAGGGCCAAGTCAGACGGATTAGCAGATCTTGAACAGTAATCTCAAGTTGTTCTACATATGCGTGTAGGAAAAACTATACATCATAATTATGGGTGATAAAATTTGATATTCAAAAACGCATTTTTCGTGCTAAAAGATGAACATTACATTGTGGCATTTTCATACGTGATCGTTCTATTACTTTTAGGCTCCAATAATGTAACCGCGTCCTGATACCGTTCGTTGCATTTCAGTTATGAGTTCTATAACATTATTACTGTTGCTAGAGGCATAAATAGACATTAAGTCGTTCTCGCAGTTTCATCACTTTAATGACGATAAATATATGCATATATTAATGCAAAAAAAGAGGATAGTAAAACGAGATTCGTTGCCACCTGCCATTATCGGCGGAGAGCTCTGACATTGGCCACCCTGCACTCAGCAAGGTATACAAGATGTAGACGAGCATTTATTTCTCTTATATTTACTGTTAATTATGGATTTATTAGCCTTTAGAGAACAACGTGCAAGAAGGTTATTGTAGACTCTGACAGATGTTTCGAAGTCGGAAGTCCCATCCGGGGTTCAGACTTGTCAAAATAATTCGTCCTTTTTAAACTTGAAATGACATACACGTTCGATACATGCCCTATTCGGAGGGTCATAATATATTAGCAACTCAAAGCTGTTTATTAAAGCGGATGTTCTAACGAGGTTTTTTTTTCTTAGATAAGGGTGTCTGAGTTCATTAGCTACTTTACGCTTAGAAGAACACATTAGTCAGAACATTTTCTCTAATAAATGGAGCCTTAGAATTATTTAAAATCACTTTGTGTATTAAATACTATGAAAAATAATTAGTTTATTAACAGGCCTGTCTATAAACAATGACTATATTTTGTGTGCCTTTAGGGATAAATCTTCAGATTCATGCTCTGTGGAAGCGTACCAAGGTTCAAATAAGCCGTGGAAAGCGAACTTTATTAAGATACTGCAAAAATTTTTTCAAGCTTTTTTGGTAGACTTGCCCAAGGTTGGTAAAAATTAATTATTGAACTATTATTATATGTGGTAATAGCCAAGTTCTTTTAAACGATTTTTTTAAGCAGACATATTTTTGTATAAAAGAGTATAGGTAGGCAACGGTTGACCTGTACATAATTATAGTCCCTAATAATAACGAGTTGTCTCTTACTAACACAACTCTGCATACGCCTTAAACAACTATTGGTTTTATGTTGTTAACACCTATCATGCTCCAATTGAAGCTTGGCCTGTGGCAGGATAACAACGCGGGATTTCGCGGTAGCCGCTATCGTATATTCTACACATTGTCCCTACACAGCGTTTGTTTAAAGCGCCCCTTACGAATAAGGGAAATCATATTTACGCCTCGTAAAGGCCCTATCACCGTTAATTCAGAACTTCGCGCTTTATTTTTTATGCATTTCGGTACCAAGGCTATTAACGCAAAACACCAAGCCTATTACATTTCCGTTCAAAATAAAGCAAATAATAAAGCGTACCGCTTGTGATAAATACAGTTATGATAGTACATATGATTTTGGAGCAAAGAAAAGTATTATAATATTTGGAAAAAAATGAACTGTTTCTGTAATAAGGCTCGTAAACGATAACAACCTCACGTACAGTGTCGTCGTAGGGTTAAAGCCTACTTTGAATTTATAGCTCTAAAGTGTGACCTAATGCTAAGTGGAATAGAACACTAATATACGATAGATCCACCTTTTAGTTAGGGCAATAGTTCGCAAATTCGTAAACGGCAAAATTTTCGTGCTTGTGTGTAACGGTGATGTTGCCAAGAATTATCATCAATTTTTAAGGAAACCATTGTTTGCTTCACATATGTGGAACCCCATGCTTAACTACATCATCGAAGTCATGTTTTGCAAATGCATTCAAGCATACGATTGCTCGAAAAATTCTATCACTTTTTCCCTAGATTCCCTAGCGAGTTTCTTAAGGATTTCCCGGACTTCCTTTTGAGTATTCTGTAAAATTTTAATTCGAGTTTTTTTTACTTTTTTAACTTATAATTCAATGATAGAACAGGACTTCTAAGAGAATAGTCCGCACATTTTTTCAATCACCTACAGTTTGAGACCATGAGTCATTGTTTCGACCTTCAAAGCTCTAGCCCAAGTGGTATTTGGCAGTTAAAGGCGACCCGTGTCGACCTTTGTGGATAAGGAATAGGATCAAGTAGTGACCCATTTCCCTTCATATTTAATATAGAATTTTCGATGGTGATTTCTGGTCTTACGGCCGTTTTATATGCTATCAAATACTGAAATGCATTCACCTTTGCAACCTCACTTAGTCTAGTGGCTAAGTGACTAGATTCTATATACAAGATCCTTGGTTCAAGGTCTGATGTCCAAAAACACTGCTTTAAAGAAAAATATATAACTATGACAGCGTCGTTTTCAATTGTTGCAACTACCTACCCCCCCATCCCCCCGCTGCGCATCAGATAGTAGAGCTCGTGGCAGCAAACTTTGACTTTGCATCCAAGCTATGTTTAGATGTATTATGTACTCCTATAGACACATGGCGATTTACTAAAGACGCAAACTTAGCTCGGAATAATAATCGAGATAATGTAATATGAATCATAATTTAAACGAATTGATTCTCATCTGTTTGGGTCATTTGGCTACTCTGATACGTACAAACTCGTTCGGGCAATTTCCTGGGTGACTAAAGATGCTAAATGCCGGGCATTTCTTTTAATAATAGAAGCTTATCGTTATAGTGGGATATTACAATATTAAGGTTATGCAAACCGAGCCAAGTTGAACAAGTACCTTACCTATATACTTCAAGAAAAGCAACAGAGCTTTATAATTAAATGAGAAAAAGCCGTATACAACTACAATAGTACTATCGTCAAGGTAGTCAGGTGTAGTTAGAATACAATAGAAAATACATAAAAATATTCACGCATGTACCTACAAATAGGTACCAAGATCTCCTATTCTACACTATTTATGTTGGAGTATTTTGACAATAACCGTAGATGTTGTCGATAAACACAAATGAATATGTTTGTTTGCTAAAATTCTAGTATAGATGATAGAGAACATAGATAATGATACCGTTAATGCTTGCTCTAATATTGCATGAATCATTACACTACATGCTGGAATAAGTCCAAACTGTTATCCGGGATGAACGCAGTGGAGTAGAAAACATTTTTGGCAAGTAAGGTATGTGATAATAAAATAAAATCAAAGCTGCGATGTGATAACGTAGGAATCGGCCTAACGAAATCATCTTACCATCACATCATAAATACATTGTGCTTTCATTTCTCAAAATTATAAACTACTAAAGTAACTTTCCACCTGCATCCATCCGCATATAGAAACGCATAAAAGCTAATGCTACGAAGAGTTTACGAGATGCAATCTTGTAATCGTGTGGGAAATGGTAGATAAAATTAATTATGATCACATTTAAATTAAACATATTTTCTTGTTGCTCGAAATAGCGTCTATTATTTACCAGTAAATCGTGAAAACAAAATAATTCGTTGTTTGTTTCTCTGGGGAACGACAGACACCGAAGCTCTCTGTACAAGTGTTCCAAATATTACCGGGAAGTAATTATGCTACAGTTTTCACTAACCTACAAATAAGCTCTATTCATTGGTACGAAGCTTGAGCTTGTTGCACCATATTTATCATAATTACGCAGTTTTGTGAACGTCATTTGTTCCACTGATGACGAAAAAGAAAGTCTGTGAAAAAAATATTAGCCTCTGCTCTTTTTATGAATGCCAATTTAGGTTTTTTAAAATAAAATTAATTTGTAACAATAAACAAAACCATGACTTATTTTAATTCATTATGCTCAGTTTTTCAGCTTCGAAATTCAATTTGTTCAAACTCGAATCATTCGAAGTATTATGTAAAGCTAACACTGTCCACTCATTTCGTACCTTGCTGAGTGGGGCTGGTGACATGTTAAAATAAACTTATGTTGCGGAGAACGAAATGTCAAGGAACGGTAAAAGAGTTATACATGTCAAATATGCCAGGTGTTTCTAAGACTATTATAGCGATCGACAAGGATTCAAGCGGTAAAATCAACCAACGGTGTTATTGTGCTGTTTGAATACAAGGGTTGGAAATAGTTTGGTTAGTGTAAGATACCTCGTTTTTGAACTACTGCAATCGTCTAGCTAATTTTGTTTTTAAAAAAACAAAATCCCCTTGACGTCCCTGAACTCTTGTTAACAAGAATCCTTTCTATTAAAATAATTTCCATGTAGAATTTTTTCATTAATAATTTGGATATGTTATAATTAACGGTTACTCTTTCGAGCGTTTGTGGTGATACCAGCACCAGCAGACAAATTGGTTGAATAATCGGTTACCTTTCGAATCCTGCTGAGATACTCGATGACTGCGAAAGAATATTACTATATTATTATTATGCTTGTTTCAGCATTTTGCTAGCTCCATATCAGTGGCGTCAAATTTAAAAGTAGTGTTTCAGCTTTACGTAGATGCTTCTGAGTCACATGCCGTAATGGAACATTTTTAAAAAACTTCATTTTAGAGTTAAAAAATCTAGCGTGACGAACATATTTGTTTTGTTATTTGACTTATTGCTACTAGTTACTTTTAATCAATTGACTCAAAGGCAAGGAAGATTAGACCTTCCTTTACATTTATGTGCTCATCTCACTTTCTTAACTGACGAAGTTTTCTTGACAGGATCATATATTTTTGAACTGATATATATTAGACCTTTAGAAATAAAATGAATATCTGCATTTTATCGTCCCATTGAGAAAAAGCTTTTTTCCCTTAAGGAAAGAAGAAAGAGTTTTCAAGCACCTTCTCTATATTATATATTCTTTGCTCTATATTATTATTATATATTATATATTCCTGCCTTTTCATATGTGGAGACAACTCAAGCTTTAACTTGAGTGTCCAACTTATTTCTTTCTCTAAAATTCAGAAATTATTGTCATACGTTCATATTAAATTGGTTTGCTTCATGCCTGATCATCCAACATGTCTTTGTCTATAACGAGATATATATAACGTACTGAGCCACCGCATAGGTTCAAAGACTGACGAAGCAACGTTTTCTTAACATTCTACTGTGTTATTCTAGTTTATATGCCTATTAGCACTAATAGACAGTTATGGCTTAGTATTCTACAGCATGTTTTTCACCGTTTATATGTTGTGCCTTATTATTTAGATATGAAACGGGTACATGAAAAAACCTACGAGCCCGAGGAAGCAGTGCCACTCGCGAACGACGGTGAGCCCAGTTTCGAGTTCTTACATTGTATATTGCCATTAATCAAAACATGATACTCTCGTTCCGTTTGGTCAAACATCCAGACAAATTTTCGCTTGCTGCCTTCTACTGAACTTCGGTGAATTTTTCTTGGTGGCGGCAACTTTTCTGTTTTGGGTCGTTTTCCTCTCTCTCTCTCTCTCTCTCTCTCTCTCTCTCTCTCTCTCTCTCTCTCCCTTTCAACGGTGACTCTATATCAGATTTGGCCTATCTATGTGTGTGCATTGGCCTAGCTAAATGTCTAATTTGTGACAGATGCGCGATTTTTACTAATACAGCTTATCCTACTGCCTTGAGAATAACTTTATAGGAGATTTGAAGCGCGTTTTTGTCGCAAGACTTGGCGCAACTTTATCTGTTACGGAATGGCTCGTTTTGTCTCGCACACTTTGGTACTTTAAATGAAAGGATATAATGGTATACATAAAACTCCTTTTTACCATTTAGCTATAGTGGCACAGTGAATTCTTGTCAGCTATAATCGTTAAGTGGAATACTGATTTGAGTATGTCACAATTTTCTATTCGACAAAGACGATCCTTGATGAAACTAAGATCAACATTTAGCTTCTGGAAAGGTCAGACCTAAGTCGTCGAAGTTGCCCACAAGTACTACGGTTCTACGTAGAAAAAAAGAAAACACTGCGGCAGCTGTGGTTAATTGGAACAAATGTGAACAGATTAGGCATATTTTAGTTCTCTGAAGAGTTAAAGATTAAATCATACCAGGATCAAACAGTGGACGATGTCAGCATTATACTATGTGCAACAGGATAATCCCGCGATATTGTTATTTCATGAAATTTGTGGCGTTATCATACTACTTTAGTAACGTGACCTTTCCTGCTACAACTCTCTCCTCATATATTCCTATTAATTCATACTCCTCTTAAACCACTTTAATTAGGAGATTAACACTATAGGTTTTCGTTCAAGAGTAAAGCGGTCTGCTAATCAAGGCACGTCTTCCCTTTGGTTCACATTAACTCTCTAAAGCGCAAGTCAGTCTGTTAGCAAACTCTGTGAGGTGCTCAAAAAGTACCGCGAACCCTTATACCCATAAAACGTTGCACCAGCATACTGCCACAAAGTGGTCAAGACAGATACAGACAAGTCGAAATAATGAATCCCTGCTATTTGCTTTGAGGTTGTCGAACTGTAAAAAAAGTCGTTCCTTCCAATGCTTGTTTATAGTTCCTTATTTTCTGTAGTTGGCATAACGATATTGAAAATTGCATTCTTAAATATACGCGAGTCATTTAATATATACGCCATTACGAAGTTGTATCGTTCTATGTAGTAAAACGCGTGGAGCTTATGAACGGCATTTACATTAATTGCAGAGTCGGACATTCGTAAATGTTAATGACTGGGGGGTCTAAAGGCGTATCGATAGCAGGGTTAGAGTAAATATTTTAGCGTGGTTTCAACAATATGAAATAATGTTCCTGATATAAAATGTACAAATAGTCGTTATTATTTTCGCTACTCCGAACAAGGAACGCGAGAACGATCAAGCGAGTTTATCACGGAAGGCATTGTCATGGTTTGTGGTGATCTATGTGTTTCTGTGAACAGGTGCTACTCTGCGCTTGGTTTCTGTTGACCAAATGGTTGCAATGATTTCTTCTTCTAATCATACGCACAAAGACATTAAGCACTCCATGCTTGCATAATATGAGCCGTTTGCAGTGACCATCCGAAAAAATTATTCGAATCACCGACCTCTTCGACCTCGCTACTCTCATTGAGCGTATGGCTTGTTCAGCTGTGTTCTGCCACATCTATTGTTACATGCTGTTGCGCTCGGTGGTGAGCTCGATCTTCTGTCGAATTGCGACGTGAGTTTTTGTGTCGAATGTACTGTTTCAATACACATTAATGTGCCAATAGCCTAGATATTCGTTTATCAGTATACTCGTATATGAGTATACAACACTTGTCTAACACAAGCACTTGCGCATTTTAATGCAAGGTTTTAACGAAATATGGTGTTATAGGGTATTATAATTCCATATATTTCGATTAATTAATACAATTAGTCATGGTTGTACGAGCAAGTGCTCAAATAGACAGAGTTTCCTAACTGAAAAGTCTATAGGTGATTGGGTGAGTTGTATTTTTATGTGGTATTTTTTTCTGCAATTTGGTACTCCAGTTTTCTCACTCTTGTGCTTTGCGCATTGTGCGTTTGCCTTTGTCGTTACGCTATGCGCGCATGTTACCGTATGGCCGCACTATTCCGTTCTACATACAGGTAAAAATTCATCTTTTCTCTCAGCGTCGACCTCACGCACAGCAGGCGTTAGCTCTGGATTGAGCGAAAAAATTGACGGGGACGGAATTCATCGACGTCCGATTAGAAGCGGCACACGTGGGCTGCTAACAGAGGAGGCGGGTGGCATGTGGCTAACAGCAGCCTCGCGCTATGTTTCGCACCAGCTAATCATGTCGGCCTGGCGTAGGAAGCCCGTCGTGCTGTTCACTATCCTGGCGGTGACGTTGCTCGTACTTTTCGTGCAGTACTCGCAGGTCGTCGGCGAGCCCCGAACGCCGCGGATTGGTTCGGCAAGCGCTAATGGCAATAACAACGGGTTCAAGGTACGTAAATATCAACAAGTATGTCCGTCGTCTCTACAGATCGTTTCGTAGAGATATCAATACATGTACTAATCTTCTCGAGAAATTGAAAATACAAGACAATCCACCTGATACACAAAAAGTTTTTTATCCTTTGCCAAAAATGTGCTTCGTAGGTGTGTAATAAATGAGGTAGATGTCACATTTCGCATTGTATTATTATTATTGCCAGCATTGCTACTGCTGAAAGCTTCAGATTTGCAATCTGTGTTTTAGACCGTAGTTTGTGCCATTAACTCTTCTGACTATTTTTATACCGTTTAAACAAATGCTCAGAGTTACATCTTACATAGAGAATCAAGTATTTTGCTCTAGGTGATTTAGCCGGAGTGGATGTTGCTGGACTTAATTAGGGTTTCTTCAATAATCGTATAAAATGGCATGGGTAATTATTTGCCAACGCCGAAATTTGAACTATCGACAATTGTTTTTTTTGTTGTCACCAATGGCAACACGTCCAAAAACATACGCGCTAACTATTGAGATCACGCTGCCTTGCGACGTAGCTATTGGATTATGGTAACTGACAGACCTGTTCAGATCGGACGAGTACGCCCATGTCCGACGTAAATCAAAGCAGCCATTTGTGGTATGGGTCATTGTCAGATAATGTAAGAACAGACATAGTGAAATCAGTGTCCCTTAGTTTTCCCTCCTTAATTTTTCTTCATCTGCTACAATATGCACAGTGTTTGGAACAAATCAGAACAAAGTATGTTGTTCGTTTACACGAGTCTAAAGAAAAACATAGATTTAGATAAACTTTGTTATAAGCACCGACGGTAACGTTCTTGTAGATGTATCTATTCACGGTAACTCGCTTCGATTAAGAATTTCTAGCCTTAAATAGCTTGTATATCATTTCAACGATAAATCCTTTAGATTGACGGAAAAACCTCGTAAAGTGATATTGGTATGCATAGACACGCCTAGTAGAAACAATTTCTTCACAATTGGATTTACATTCCGCGCTGATAATAGTCGAAATCTTAAAGGTAACGAAATCTTAGAATATAACGAATATACAAAAGGTTGACTCCTAGATAACCCAATGGACGAAAGATACTTTTCTTTCACTGCATCAAAATTCTGGAAATTGCTTGTTACGCTGTTTTAAATCTCTATCAATATAATTCATACTATTATAAACCTTTTGATTTGACACGTTGAAATTTTTTTCGCGTTCTTCAAAGGGCTTATGAGGATTGAAACAACGTAGGTTGTTGTGATAGGGCGACCGAGAAAGTCAATCCCATATTCCCGGTAAAGGTTTGTCTAACGCGTAGACATTGGCCAATAGCTCATTTTTACTTACATTTGGCCGGCGAAGTTCGCAGTTTTCCTTTGGAAAGAGCTGGTTTTCGCCTGGCAATAAAAAAGATGGATCAATTCATACTCGATACGACATGCAACCGCTCAAAATCTGCCTCTATGTGTTTCAAAATCCTGTTCCATCATTGTTCGCCGTATTCATAGTTTGACAGACACGTATATAAAGTCATCCCAGTAATGCGCTGGCAATGTCTACGTGTCAAAGTTATGGGCTTTGGGTTCGAATTATCCAATAAACACGTTTTTTCTTGCGAGGTTAGCCGTCTTATGTATTAGGTGTAAAACTCGAGATATTCGAATATTAGTATTATAGTGGAATGTTCAAAGTGTCTACAACGTCCTCGCTGTCACCAGAGATGTGTAAACTATCTAAAAAAAATAATTTATTTCATATTTTTTCGTATATGCCGTGATTCAGGAGTCAGCTCAAAACTTTTAATTGCCATCGATTTTGATCATTCCGTCGTACTAATCGGTTTTACGGAAATCTAGTGTAGATATAGCGCATATACATACAAAGCATTATAATATATATATATATATATCCTCTATATATGTATGTATATATATGTATATATATATATCCTCTAGTTATATATATAACTAGAGGATAACGACTCGAAAATAGCTCAAATGGTCGCTTAAGTTTCGGGCCTAAGCGCGATGGTGGAGCGTTTGATAGAACGTGTGCTGGAAGTCATGCTGCCGCCGAGTCTGCTGTTTTCATTCGACTATTCGAGCTCTAAGACACTGGATACAGCGGCGAGTGTCTTCTGCTAATCGCATAAGCGCTTGCTCGGGCTTACATATGGACTTCTGCCAAGTCAAGTACAACAAAGCTTTGTAGGCAACGCGGGCACACGTAAAAGGTCAAGACTCGTTTATTCAAGAAGAGTATTATGCCCGGGTTCAAAGAGGCGATGAGGACCTGCACGCCTTTACCCAAGATAAGCGGTTCGTGTGTGAGCACGCCGGGTTGCTATTTAAGTGTAAGGCATTTCTAGAAGACATCAAGGAATGACGCCAGTGTCATGATTCGATGAACTACTTTACTGTGGCAATGCCGCATAGTTTAACGGCCTTGGAACAGCTGCGCGCGACTACGGGACGCGGGTAAAGTAGAAATCGAACCCCGATTGCGGGGTCAGCCAGTTGCTTCGGCTTTTGTATTGGTTATGCTGTGCAAAGCTGTTTGCAAAACTAGGCGTTCCCACACTAACAGTGGTCAGACTTCGTTGGTTGGACACGAAGCGGAGGGCTCGTTTCGACTGCCGAGCTTCTGATTGTGCCTGCCATAGAGTCGAAAGGTTTTGAAGAGGTAGATCTTAGGAGAACGCATGAAGGAGATTCATTTGAATGGAATTATCATTATAGATGTTCCTGTGTGCGCATTCGTCAACGAGTCCCTGTGTCGAATTAGAAGGAAGGCAGCGCTGTTGCGGGCCGCGCGAATCCAGGCCACTACCGCAATCATGTGCTGCCTTTTCCAAATGACGCATTAACATGCAGACATTCCAGAACTGTATTGTAGATACTTCCATATGGGCATTGGCATATATCCCCAGATTAAAAATATGATAGTTGAAAATTTCGGCAACCCAACGTGTGTCTTTCGACATCTACTCCCATTTAAGGAAATTTGCAACCAGAGAGGCGATCCGTTGCAGTGGACTCTGAGGTGTGATATATATTATACCAAACATTTCGGGGAACACAGTCTACGCTTTCCAACATTGCTTGGGCGATGACTAAAGTGGGATATTTCGCGCTACGCTTACATGGGCTACAAGAAGTTCAAGTGCAAAAAAATTCTTAAGACATGGAGAAGTTCTGTAGAGCAATCTCGATGATTCAAAATTTGTCTTTCTTGATGTGCCTAACAAAAAGGTTTTGAATAAATAAATAGGTATAGATATGATGCGAATAAACTACGTCGAGTTATGTAAAATCGATAAGACATAATTTGAAATGAGTCTATGTGCCAAGTAGCCAAGCCGACGACATAACGAAACAAACCTAGATGCCCCTAGCATAGTATTAATCAGTAGTATACCGTAGATTCCTAATGTGAGGTGGCATTCAGGTTTGGAATGAATCGCAATACCTTTACTGCGAAAATCTTCTGTATTTTGATCAATTTCCACCGCTGCCAAATGTATTGAGAATTTCGCCGTAGTGGCAGCGTGGACAACAAATCAGGCGCGAAAATAACGCGCGGAGCTATCCTGTCGTCGTCAGGTACCTGTTGGCCTATTCCATTGATTTTATAGTAGAGTATCGGGTACGTACAGCTCCTGTAATACTATAAGCACATGTTGATTAATCACAGCTATAGCGCGCCAATGATAACCGCTTAGATAATGCCTGTTTGTTAGGTGTAAATAAGATAAAGTATATATTATACTTATACATATAAAATTATATTAATTTTGTAATCAGATTATAAAGTATCTGCGTCCAGTATAGTACCGAGTTACTATTGGAATATTAAACTCGGATTTGGATATTTCAGTAATTCAACTTAATGCTGCGCTAAAAGTAGCTCTAAGCTGCAAGTACTTATGGTAGGTGATTGCACGGAATCTGATAGGACTACAAGCTCATGAACTAGCCCCTACTCAAAAAAATGGCACGCATGGCCAGGTTAGCAAACGGCTAAAACTAACTACCTGAGAACAGGAAATCAACTATGGCACAAAAAACGTTTTTGGCCGTTATTATTCCACATATAATAAAAAAAGAAATCCTTTTTCGTGCAGCTTCCATTTCCCTATCTACCTATAAGAATATAATAGCCGTACTCTTTAATTGTACTTTAATATCTAATGCATTTTTAACTAATGTTAGCTACTGGTTTGAAAGTATCATTCAGCGGAAAGTATATTTAATATCCGCGAATACAAAATATATAATACGTATGTTTTTGTTAGAGCCTGAATACGTGTTTGGACCACTTCAGGTTGTCAATGATCTCATATCCGTCGCAGTCTGTGGTTACAGAAGGTACAAAAGCTTCCGATTGATCATAGCCTTTGGAGCGCAAGCAGTCAGAACCCTTAAAATCAAAGTAGCTCAAATATCTGTCGGTCATTATTCTGTTCCTCTATGACTCGCGTAGTTAAAAGTAGAAAAAAAAAAAGCTCAAATAAGCACGGCTAGCGGCACCACATGCTTGCTAAAAAAGGCAGCTTTTTCTTATTTCGAGCATAATAATTGAAGTTCGCTATTCGTCTTTAAACGAAAGATGGAGGTGATTTCAGGACATACGTAATCAAATGCGCGTCAGTCTCTGATAAATTGGTCATTTCAATTATTAATAGTTTTCTAAAACAACTTATCTGATCTTTGCGCTGCAAATGAAAAATTTTTTACACGAAAATTTTGAGCGGGTTATGAATTGATTTCTTGGAACTTTATCGTTTATTCGCTTTAGCCTGATTAATTTTTTTATAAGAGCCACCAAAAGCATTCCGTAGATTTGAAATACATTAGCAATAGTGAAAGAACGCAAATAGAAAAATAGGTCTATGTCTCTAGGTCTGTTTAATTAAGGGCAAATTAAACGATTAGGTACCAAAGATAATCATATCTAGTCAGTCAGTTCGATAAAATAAAATTTTGTCACATATGAGTTTCATTGTTCTTATGATGCGCTCAAGCCCCGTCTATCAAAACTTGTACACCCAATGCAATATCTTTAGCATATGAAGAAGCATACTTGAGAACAGGTTTACATCTCAGCAAAAAAAAAATCAATCTCTTCAAGTAGGGCATCCATATTGACTATAAGATATCACCTACATTGATTTGCATATGACATAACATCTCTCCCTTTGAAAGGTAGACTAGTTAAGTGTTCCTACTAATTTCCATCGGTCTGGTTAGTTTTGTTTGCGTTCCATGACATTTGCCTAGTATAATACACAAACATTCAGGCTTTTCTATCGTTTATTTTGTGCAACGATAAGATGCGATAACCGCTTGCCAGAAGTGGGCAAATGGAAACCTGGAAGTAGCGACCCGCTAGAAGGAACTCATTTATTTGAGCACTCTCATTTATTATCTTCCCCGACACTGCGAATAAAGCGTCGTGCTATATACATTTGGAAACTTTAGGGTTAAGTTGTATAGTAATTTACGATTATATGTTATATTCAGTGGTACAAAGCAAACAAAATGGTGACGCTTTTCCAGTAGGTCGCCCCAAAGCGGCGATTCCAATTGTATTATACTTTTCTATGTGTTGAATATGAAATTATATCTATAGTCGCTTCAAATACTGCTTGAATTTAAACAAAGAACATTTGTAATATTTGTGGATGAATAATAAACGTAGATATTTGTGTTTGCCCAGAGGCTTGCAGTCAGAATGATCACGGAGTAGTCCACAGTAGACGTATGATGAAAATAATAAGTCAGTTCCGATTTTTCACTGATCTTCGAAAATCATCTCTTTTTCGTAGAACACTTTTTATGCATGTTAGATGTATTTGTATTCTTCAATGGTCTTGGTCCACTGTCCCGACATCAGGATCGTTCAGGAAGTGGCGCCCAATTTTGCGATGTGTTCGAAGCATATACAAAAAAAAAAAGTATATACAAAGCACATACAGGGCCTGAAGGATTATGACTCCAGCTTTATCTATCTACTATTGTGTTATCCTCATATCAATTATGTTGCCATTTAAATTGCAGAAGGATCTGCATAAAAAGTACGATCTTGTTTCGTAGCTCGATTGTTCAAAATTGTTACCAATTCAGGTTAGTAGATTTCTAATTACGTTAAGTTCTCATTCATAAATTTCGGTGAACGCCTTATTTGGCCTTGTGGCATGTTTTTGCTTAATTGAAGCCTTTCTATGTTGTAGCAATGTCGAGTTTTTAGCGTAGACTATATATTAAAGGTATCCGTACAAGAAAAGCTTGATAGCATCAGATCTGTGGAAACGGCAGGGTATTATAAGGGCCTCTTCATCTGTTTGGGAAATCTTATAATGATGTTACTATAATCTCTTTTACATTACTATGATAGCGTGAAGGAGCTCCATCCTATTAGAAATAAAATTCCCCATCTGCACGTAAGTCCTACCGAATGTGTAGTAAAACAGATCCTCGTAGTCAATTCAAGTAAATGGCATAAGTTATTACACTGTCAAAAAGGAATAATCCGACGCTTGAAATAGCTTATTGCACTATAAACTTAGTACTTTTACATGATTCTGCGTAATATGTGAATTTTAACTTGCTCAGTAATTGCAATTATGCAGATAAGTAGTGCCCTTCAATCTGAATGCAGCCCTATCGCTCTGAACGATCTTCCCCGAGGACTGTGTATTCTGTAAGCGTTTTTCAAGTACCCTCATTGATACTGCGCATCATTGTTGGAATGAAGCTCTTCACTGTACAACGTTTTAAAAGGCGATGGTCGCACTGATGTCGAGGCTTCCGCCCAGCTTGCCTTACAGAGATTTGATATACTGCACTATAACATTTTTCGATGGTAAAGCTCATTGAAGCTCGTGGTCTTTTGGAACGTTTTCTATAAACCTTCTAAGCGGTTACAAATATACCTTTATATTGTAGGTCGCATTAGCGGACTTTGTGCGATACCGTTTGTACTCCTGCTACGTTATCATTCCGTCAATTATTAAACTAAATAATTGTAATTCATTTTCTTTGCTCAAAAAATAATTTTTGTCAACTCGCTATTTCCAGTTTATTACATCTACAAAAGAAAGCAATTAAAAGGTGATGACCCATTAAATATTGTACAGATTTTTTTCGATACCCATACACGAGCATAAACACGCATTTGTATATTTACTTTTCAAGAAAAAAATGGAATGTTCTTCATCAAGAGAATTTTATAAAAAGTGAAACGAGGTGAAATATAAAAACCAGGATTGGGCTACGTAACGGAAGGAGCAGGAAAATCCGGGCCGAAGAATAAAAATTGCGTGACGGCGTTCATATTATGTGTAGTCACAGTATAGACTTTATACAAAGAGAGCCAATACTTTGGCTTTCTTCCGGAAACAAAAGTTTTTGGATGGTTTTGTCTAAAGGATTCATTTTGCAACTCCAGATATGATAGCGTACGAAAAAATTCGATTTTTTCGGGAAGTTGACTTCATATCGCCGATTCGTTGCAAGCTTGGGACACTAAAGGAAAAAAGTTCAAACGGTCCCTTGGCATACGGATGGATTCAAATGCTTTCGGTTGACGCACCGAGACTGACCCCAATCCCACCTAACTTTAGATATACGTAGATAACCACATTCAAACACTGTTATTACGGCCGACGCAGTCGTAAGAGACTGTCTAGATCGTGTCTGATCGTCGAAGTTGAAGTCGTTTTTTCCTAAGCGAAACGAACCACTCTGGAGTTGAATATATTTTCCTTTAGCCGAGCCTCGGCTTGCAATGTTTTAAAACCAGCGAAGTATCCTCTCGGCCTTGTGACCTCTGGGGATACCTATGCGGAAGCCTAGAGAAACACACTTTTGGTTTTGTAGCCACGCATCTCACATGCCCGACTCTCAAGCACTTTTGGTAGCGTTTTCTCTCTCGTAGAAAAACGTATTTGTTCTGTTCTCGCCAGGCCTCTAACGATCTTTTGTTTCAGGTTATGGTCGCCACCTTGTTGTGGAACTACTTCGAGGTTGTACGTTCGAGACGTTGAAGGTCCATGAACAGAGCACGTCTCATTAGCCGTCTGTGCCAGTATGTTGTTTTTTTCGAGCAGGAGAAGACGTCGATAAGCCTAAAGTTCTTGTTCCGATTTTTCATCCTCTTCGCACGGAAACAGTTCGTTATGATTTCACTATGGCTGTATGCAATTAAATCTAATATTTGCTCCATCACTTACTGTCGGAGATAAAATTATAATACGCTTGCAGTCACATGGTATTTAAATGTTTTTGAGGTTATTCTAGTTATCTGTAGCAGCAGAATTGGTTGAACTCAGTCGACCACGAAGCTTTCTTACTCTCAACATATTATACTATATAGAAAATAGTTAGCCGTTAATTGCTATCAAATAAGTGACCACAACTTTATGTCATCCATATTTAGTAAGCGTAATATCTTTATGCCAACTAGACAAAGATGATGTCACAGGCTATAGAAGATAGCTGCTCATAACAGGTACGTCATATTCTACGAACAAAAAAGGGTTCGCTCGTAATCAAACGATTCACGAGCAAAAGCTTGATATGATACAGCGCTCCCAAATAGTGGACAGCGTCCCATGCTCGCCATGCTGAACATGGCATATTCACAGTCTAGATTGTAAAAGGTCTTATAATTTAGCATTTGATAATGTCGGGTGGATACAGTATAGTAGGATTCGGCTTAAGCGATTCCGCCGAATTTCTATTACAGCAGGAACATTTTATAAGCTTGTAGGCAGCCTTAATCAGAAAATGTTCGGGTGGTAAATTGGTTATCAAAAAGAGTCATGGGGTTATTTACAATGTAAACAACTTTGTGTAAGGATTGAAATGCCGATATTTCCGCAGCGAACAATAATACCGCTAGCACAGTAGAGACTAATTTCGAATGTAACAACAAATGCAAGCAGGGAGCGAAATGGCATTCACAAGAGACAAATGTTACTTTTCAGTGGTCCGAAATTAAGAACTCAAAGAATCAGTGAATCCTATCTAAGAATACGAGCCAAGACTCATGATTGTCAAACTCGTATTTAACAAAGTAGAAAAAATGCTACGTTTTTGTATGCGTAGACAAACGATACAAAATTTAATTGTGTCACTCAGTTGTTGAAATGCCGAAATGACATGTTGATACTTTTTAGGTCGAAAATTAGGTCGAGGCATTTTGTCCTGGTACGTATTTTAAATGCTTCATAAAGATTAAAAAATGGTTTCCATAACTTCATCTGTACTCTGCTATTTGTTTCTCTGATAGGATCCCGAACCTCCCATGCAGAGTCAAATTGTCGGATACAATGCCCAACCGCAACAATCCCAACACCAGAAATTAACCGCTGGCGGCAATGGGCCAGACGGCGGTGAAACAAATGGAGCGCAGGCAGACGCCCCTTCGCGAAATGCAGGCGTCAGTCAAGATAAACGACAAATGTATCCTTCGGGTCCATTGCCTGAGCCATATACAGCACCTCCAGGCGCCCCATTACATCGAATTGTCCATTTCGATCTGAAGGGAGCTCCGCCAAAGATCAGTTATATCAAAAAGGTTCTTCCTATCATCCAACAAGCCGGCGCAACAGGTTCGTATAGAGGGGCACTGCAAGCTGATTACCATGACCGCTATAATAATTATGATTGTTTTGACTATACGGTACACTGTCGCTCGGTTACTTCATAAACTCAGGACTAACAAGTAATGTAAGTTAAAATTGAAATTGTTTTATAGCAGTCGCGGGTAAGAAGTTATTCGCTTTGTAGGTGTCATGCTGGAATACGAAGACATGTTCCCGTACAGTGGCTCACTCGAGTTCATCAGAGCAGGAAACGCATACAAAATGGCAGAGCTTGAGGAGTTGCTTCGATATATAACCGTCGATCTTAAGCTGCACCTGATTCCTCTTATTCAGACGTTCGGACATCTTGAATTCGTACTTAAGTTCGATAAGTACCGCCATCTTCGCGAGATGGATGAGTTCCCCGCTGTTATCTGTCCATCTAAGAACGAGTCGTTCAATGTCATCAAGGAAATGGCCAGACAGGTTCGTGGGATACATACGAGTTGATCATTGCGCCAAGAATAATCTTGCCGAAGCTTGTTTGGGTGAATACTTGGATGGGCACATTTGCAAAAGCCATTGATAAAAAAAATTATTGAGAAAAGTTAAGTTATTGTAATGTGCAATAGAATACGAGGAGACAGTTGGCCCTAAAATGTGTTTATCTCAAGTTTGGTGTCAGTTAGATACACTCTATTTTATTGTCTGCACATCGCAGCCAGCGCTCGAAAAGCTTTTCAAGAGCTCTGTGTTTGTGATTTTATTACCGTACCTTATGTTGTTATTGATAAGTTCTTTAAAAGAATCAATGGTAAGACATGCTACGCTTCCTATAATCTTTTTCAAACATGGAAACAACAATCGAAATCACTCGAACCTAAATTTGGAGGTGTTATTTCTGTCCGAGAGTGGGAACGGGATGTAGTCTTATGTCCACATCGTGTGCGGGCGGTTGCTTTAGGCATCTACGAAACTTTTCGGAAAGCCAGCCTTAGCTGAAAATACCAGACGACCAAATGCTGAATAACCAAGTTAGAACTTTTGTTTTTTTCATTCTTAGGTTCTTCTTATTAGTTCGTACACACGGTAATATACGATCTACGGGCTCATAATGTTAAACGCGTATGTAACGATTGAATTTAGAGATATTTTTATCGCCTGCCTTACTGCTTTGGCAGTTGCGCTTGCGATTGTTTTCGTAATCCTATCGTGATACTGGTAGAAGCTGCGTCGAATCGATATTTTCGCATAACCTGTCTGCTGTTATAATATTCTTTTGCCATATAAAGTTATACGTAAAATTCTTGTATTATCCTAGATTATGTGACGAACTAATAGGACGTCCTAAAGAACTGATTACTTGCTGCCTAGTTCCTATCAGGGACAAGTAAAATGCTCCTCTCTGTCGTATATTGCTTACAGATGATGGCGTTGCACTCCAAGTTCCATGTGCGTTATTTGCACATCGGCTGCGACGAGGTCTTTCATCTGGGCGAGTGTACCCTCTGCAGTATGAAGTCGAAGGAAGAGCTATTACTCGGCCATATGTCCCACGTCGCAGGTTAGCTTTGACATTTATTTTAATGACGAGTTTGTTAAACTACAAGTTTGCTTCAAGAAGACATTGTTAAATTCGTATTACTGGACTTGAGGTACTCGACTATGAAGCATATGTAATTAACAATTTATATAGAGCATAGAATACAGTTCATATTCTATGGTTTGCGTGCTCTCGCGTCATTATGCTGTATAATAGTAACGAAAGTAAAAATGTCCTGTCGTAATACGCCCACAGAATTTGTTCGAAAAGAACTCCAGGTGATTCCTCTGGTTTGGGATGATATGATGCGAAATTATTCCCCGGAGCAACTCAGAAGGTGAGCTAATATCGGTAAGAGTGTTCTGTATCTATCGAAGCTAACCGGGTTTGGTGTACGAAGCTTTGAGAAGTGGGCGCATATGTATGTATTATCGCTAGCTTGCGTTAAGGAACTTCATTCACGCCAAGTAAATTTTTAAGTCAATGTAATAAAAACAATAAAGTCGGTTTCCTATATAGGACGTGCCTTTTAGTGTAAAAAATTGCACCACAAATGGGTCCTGTAACTAAGCATGTACTTGAGTTGATTCGTTAACACACAAATTTCTATGTGTTTAAGGCTGTCAGTGGACAATAGTCTACGAAATCTCAGAAAATAAATATAAGACTCTTACAAGCGAATCCGGCAAACTTTGAAATTCAGTAGCTTTTGAACTACGCGCCATTAGCGGACGAAGAATGCTGCAGTCTTTCAGAAACCTCTGACTGTTCGTTTTCTTCAAGAGAACTACGTCTTTTAACTTTGAATACCAACGTTCAGTAATCAAACGTTTGCTTCTCGATTGAAACAGAGCTGCAAAAATTCATTGAAGATTGGTGAAGACAATTAGGTATGAAGACCTTGAGCGAAACGATATAAACGCTTTGAGAATGAAGATTGGTATTGAAGCCTAATGAGTAGGTGCGAGAATAAAGCCCGAAAGACAATAACGCATTGCCGTAATCAAGCAGGCATTGCGAGAGGAAAGCTTGGAGTGTTAAGACTCTGTTAACCAAAGTTGGTCTTTCACATGTAACATTTCTAGAAAATTATAACCCAAACGCTACAAATGTAGAAACTGAGTAAAAATGTGCCCTAGTGAATTGATTCCAGATCAGCTCTAAATGCGTGTCACCAATATTTCACATACAATTTGTAGACTTTTAGTCAATAAAAAACTTGTTTGAAACTTGCAGTCGTCAAGGCATGGTTCAACTTCCTGCCAGCCCGAGAAGGACCAGGCGAGAGAATGGGATCGTTCTAGACATAACTCGAGTTCGGTAGCAGTGTTGAATAGGTTCGGACGTAAGATGACAGTAGTACCTGCAGATAGATATCAGACCACCTGCTACTATGAGATACTTGCCGAAAATAAAATAAAGGATACAATTCGCAATCTTCAGTTCCTCAAGAGACTTAAGGATCGTCGACAGGGCAGTCGAAAGCACGCAGTCTAGTTACTTGATGATAACGCCAGAATTCATTCCCATGCCTCAACTTTCTGGATTAAACCAGGAAATATTTAACGCTCCCGATCTAAGACACGAGGCCTTCCATGCTTGACACCATATTTAGCTTATGCCATTGTCGATTTACTTCTAGAAGCCATATGCAAAGGAACTGTTTATGGGAACAGGAAGTGTAGGTATATAAGGCTGTACAGAAGTTCTCAAATATGCGAAAAATGATTATCTTTAAAAATGATCACCTTAGTTCCACTAGTTCATAAGTTATCCAGTTTCAAAGTCCGCCGGAATCACTTCTAACAGTCTACCAAAAAAAAGTCGAATTTTGGGTTCATTTCATTTTTCACTGTATATGGTTAACTTACTTACCTCGCCATAGTCGAATTTGTGCTATACTCTAGTATCATTACAGTAAATTTGTTTATCATATGATGATGACTAGAATATAATAGAATTTACCATATAAGTCAAACAAAGTGGCTAATAAATCTAGTCTCGTTTAACCGAACCCAGTAAAGTAAAGTAAAAAGCAATGAAACTTAAAGCTGAATTAACATACTTGGAACTTTGTGAAATAGAATTTATAGATGATATATTTAGTTTGCACAAGCTTGCTAAATGTTTTGTTTTCATAGGCAAAGCCCTTAGATAGTCGCGGTACACTAAAGATTTCTCTCCTTTTAGCAAAGGCAGTGACCTTTTTGCGATCCTTCGTTCCCTTATAAATAATTTTGCGTAGAAGCATTTGGCCAACAATAAAGCCATAATCATTTGTGCTGTTGTTTTAGGTACCGCTTGCACGATTTGGTTGAACCAATGGTGTGGACCTATGTGAAAGATGTGTACCGCTTTATTCCGTACTCCAACTGGATTACCTTCGGTGAAGTGTTCCCTCACATCTGGGCTGCGTCTGCTTTCAAAGGTATTCATTAGTTGACGATTTGTTGAAGTAAAATCTTGACTGTCTATTCAGGTCGTCCGCTTTATGAACAAATCCTTCGAGGGCCGCCGTCTAGGGACAGCGAGAGGTAAGGCGTTTACTGAGATATAGGTTTCTTAACACGTTGCGATATGTGTTAACTGTGTTTGTTTTGCATAAATGTAGGCGCTTTTGGTGAGACCTTAACGGTGCCCTCGGCAAAAGGTCACCTAGAGAACAACGTCGCCTGGGTAGACGTGATTGAAGAGCAAAAAAGCAAATTCCATGGACAATTTCGGGGTCTTGTCATCACCGGCTGGCAGCGTTACGATCACTTTGCCACCCTGGCCGAGACCTTCCCTGCTGGATTCCCTTCGTTGATCCTTAGTCTTGTCTCCGTTACAGCCGGAGGTTACGCTGGCAGAGAACAATATGTTCGAATGCAAATGTCAAAGGTTCGTCGGGTCATATAATCTACCTTAAAGAAATACGATTAATAGCAAGTACCCTCGTTTACTGTGTTTGAATGTCTCCATCCTTAGTCTATTTTGTTTATTTTTAGGCTCATTGTAACATCAAACTATACAGCGGTTTAGACGGTCGGCCTACAGAAGAAAATACCTACTGTGTGGCATTATTATTTAATTAATAATATCTTGCATTAACTAACCGAGATGTGCGTTCTTATCTAGCTGCTCAATTGTCACGAGCCAATTCGGCGACTCGATCTTGAGGCTGACGAATACCTTTGGAACTCTGTCAGTCGCTGCATGTTTCCTGGCGCCAACGTGTTTCGCATGACCGAAAACCATAGAGATGCCGTTAAGCACGCCAATGAGTACTACGATGGCGTCACCATTCACAAAGCCTGGCTTACGCCCTACAATGTGCGACGAAATTACACGTTCATTGACCGCATTGATCAGGTGCGTATTTACGCGTATATGGAATACAGCTTAGCATACAATTCCGTATACTGAAAGAGATCTTCAGAGACGAACATCAGCATGAACAGAACGTGTGTATATCAATTGAGGGTCCGCAGCTGAATGTTCGTGACGTGTGCCTATTCTAATCTACTTCAGTTGTAGCAAACGCCTATTTTGTCTATATTGTCGTTGTAGAAACGATAAGACACTAAGTAAAAACAAGTAACCCATAATATTTTACAGGGTCTTGAGGAATACCCATCGGTATTCTATAGCGTTGCCCTGTTGTCGAGCCAAGCGAGAGACGCGCTTCGAGAGGTATTTGATGAATACACTGTTGCTGAGTGGATCGAGCAGAATATCTATCCAACTGTCCTTAAATTGGAAAAGCTCAAGGCAGACGCAGAGTCTTTGAGGTTCGTAATCTTCGAAATGACCGCATAAATCGCATGTCACGATAAGGACAGATAGACGTCTTGATGAGAAATAACATATTGCTATACAGAGTGTCGCTTTATAGGAATAAACTTTCGTAAGATAACATTATAATTACACAGGTACTCATTTTGGACCTTTCTTGATAGTTGTCAAGTCTTTAAGTAACGAACCGCGTGCTTTTTTGAAAACTGTCGCGGTTGCAAAGGGCTAGGCAACATTTCCTCAAGCATGGGGGGCTTATTCAGAAGCATTGTTTGACCAGCCTTTGTTGCCATCTTGTGTTGTCCTTCAGGAAGGCGCGAACGTGGCCTAAACGGCCGCTACCCATCAACCCAAATCTGCAACGTTTTGGGGTAGGCCGGACTGAACTGTAGACTGCGAACACTACTTCGGTATAGATGACTGAGTACCGCTGAGGAATGTTAAAAGGGACACCGAAGAAATCACTGTAGTTGTATTAAGCTAATAGCAATAAGCCAATTCGAATCTTGCGTGAGCGGGTGTGTGTATGTCTCCAATTAAAAGGAAACAATTAAGTCTCCGCTAATCTCAGTGACCGTACTAAGAAAGAAAATGAATGATCTGTGATCGACATCATGACAAGAAGAAAGGGTCTAATCTGATGCTGGGTCTATCGATGACCCAGCTGGATGACGCGATTTGGGGCCCGTTAGAACAGATGGCCCTTCACAGAACGCCCCGCACTAATTTTACTCAAGCGACATGGTGCTTTATAATATTGTAACAACTATATTCGCGAATGACAAAACAGGAAATTTACATGTATCAGACTATTGACCGGCGGGGAATCTACAGCCAGTTATCCCAATTCATCGCGAACACTAATGGACATTATTTATTATAGAGTTGAAGGCACCTGTCAATGGCGACATGTCCAGTGGCATGCCAAGGTGTTCGTGGTTTTGTATATGTACACGCGGCTACACGTTTGCACTATTTAGAATTATTATCTATGATATGATTATCCCTGCTGACACCGTCATCAACATTTTCGTAGTTGTCGTTTATTTAATATGTGCGTATGAGGACATTGAACAACAACATTCATTAGGTTTGTTAACAAAACTTATTTACAGAAACTAACGGTAAATTGTGGAACCGAGCGGTACGAAACGATAGGGCTGATCAAGCTTTATTCATAGCGATCAGAGATGGAGCACTGGCACGTACATCAACGGAGAATGATATCGCATCCCCCCCAAATGATGACGATCGGTATACCGTCTCGGTTGACGTTCATTTATTTTGCTCAAAATAGTAACTTTACGTTACGTCCTTGTGGTGTAAGTGGCTTATAAATACAATTGTTGGTGGTGAAGCTTGCGATTCTCACATCGTTTGTGTAGTAATACGTATACTATTGTTATTACTCGTCATAAACTTCCAAAATTACTGTTCTTAGTCCTTAAGAACTTCACGTCGAAGTAAGGCTATACGTACGCTCGTACGTGCATAGATCGAAATTGAGTTTTGTTTAATTAAAATTATTTGTTTCGATTTTGCATTTTGTGCCATCAGTTCCTCTGCATCAGAATAGCAGAAGCAAAAGCTCGTCTTAGGTTTTTGTTGTGGCAGACGCCATTTGTATATGCACTTGTGTATATACCCTACACTGTGGGCAGACCTACAACGGCTATAGCCAAGCTTAAAAAACCTTAAAAACTGTGAACGCTATATAAAAAGCAACATGGAAAGTATCCCATAACATCTTTACTTTAGCGGTTCAGTAATATTCATTGAGCTGGGTGAGACAAGAAGGAGAAGTGGCACCATGGAAATACTCTATTAACACGCAATGCGAATCTCTCTATTTAATTTCTCTGTTTTGAGAGGCTGTGAACGTATAGGGTACAGCCTCGATGCCAATGGAGCACTTCAACGAAAGTTAAATGTATGTCGATCTTTTGTACGCCGTACTTACTTGAGGTGAGGGGTGTGTGAATATCACAGTAACACAATAGAAGCATGTATAGGTTAGAGGAGTTTGAGGCAGGCAGGCAGGTAGGCAGACAGGCAGGCACATATGGTAGATACGGTGTGTATATATATATAGGGACTTCTTCGTCTATATATAAATATGAAAAGCTCACATGACAGCGTGGGCGACCGTACCGAACTGGGACAGCAATGTTGGATAGTACGCAAAAGCTAATGATCAACGGAAAAGCCGAGGCATACAAGTAATGATAGGTTAGGGAGAGAGAGAGCCTTCTAAGCAAGTAAATAATGCTGACAGTGATCACAACAAGAGAAGATCGTGATGCTATGCCAATTTATAGTGTTTTTAGTTGCTCAAATATAGAAATATAGCGAAATAGAACTCAGCAAGATACACACGATAGTATCATGGCTATGCTTAAGTGAGTACACAAACATATATATTCCTGTCGTCGAATGGAATATAGACAATACCGAATCTATAAATGCACACTACTGACACAGGTTGCGTAGGGGATAGACGTGTCGTTGACAGAACTTGAAACAACGGCAACTTTTCCTGTCTCGTTCACCCAGACGCCTAGCCGTCCAAGTAAGCGGTCAACATAATAGCGAGCAAACAATACTAAATTGTTACAATATTTTAGAAACAAATTTAGCTTTCCTGTAGACACGTGGTGCATTAGATATTGATGGAGTGCATACGCCATGCTCGTCACCAAACGCTTGCCATTTATGTCTAACTAGCTATAACAATCAACATATAACAAATGTGTAAAAAAATTGAATGGCTACTTAAACACTACGATTCACATAACCCAATGACGACTTTCGGCTTTTGTCAAGACAAAACATTTATGGGATTAGTGGTAATTGTACAGATATGCTATACACAAGCACAGTTATCTGTAGCATATAAAAAGTGTTCACAGTGGATACCAATGTATAATCTGTATTCTGCATAAAGCAATAGTCAAAGCGTTAGACCATTGGCTGTCACTATAGGGGGGGAAGCTATAGAAAAAAAAATGCTTGATTGGTGGGAAGAAGCGGCCTCAAGTAACCGATTGTCACCTGACTAGTTTCTATTATTTCCATATTTTGTTCCAGAAACATATTTTGTTATGGCTATAATGTTTGAATAGGAAATCCACAACTTTTCAAAAAGTAGTTTTCAAAAATAGACTTTTAAGGAAGATCAGCTTCATGCAATATGTCACATTGCAGGAAGTCGAAAAGCAGCACAGTTGTACTCCTTTAATGCATATCAGTATATCTGTACAATATTTTTTGAGATAAGCACGAAGCATTCTTTTCAAGCGTCTCTTTTGTTTAACTGCAAGTAAATTAGCCAATAGCTATTTAGGAGCTTTCTTGCAGCTCTGTGGAAACATACACTACTACGTAAGCCAAAAAATAACCAAAACATCATAGTAGCCTATCCAGCAAAAAATGAAAACGTTTTGATAAAAAAATACATGCTTAGATCAATGCATGATAACCTGCACCTTCAACACATTGTAAATAAAATCTGTCCTGTAAAATTTCGCGTCGAAAATATTCCTAAAAATTTAGATAGAATTTTGCATCATACAGTACAATGCATATTTAAAATCTACGCTAAATATATGTTTGAAGTTGATGAAGATAGGAAATAAATACTTTTATTAATTTCCTAAATAGATCGTGTAGTTGACGCGGAGGAAGCATCCATCGAAAGAGCCAGACGCCCTACAGAAACTCCGCGCATCTCAATAGCACACTGTTCGCCTCTGAACCGCAGCAAAAAATTTAATTTTTTTTCATCATTTTCCAAATGACCGGAATTCAATACTTGTAGCAATTGGGCTCGGACCGTTCTGGTCACATAGAAATATGTATGATCTTGTCAAACTGTTTGAACTGAGCGAATATTGATACGGCGATAATACATAATTGTATATAAAAACCAAAAGGTTTTACGTCAAGTCCCTGATGATGTGGAAAGAAGTAACAAAAAAAGTACTCAAACATACCGCAGCTTCGGAAAACTGCGGCCCGTATGCTTTTTTAGGCTTTCCTGTGCTTGATGACCCAGTTTCCTGACGCCTGACGCCTGATGCAACAGAGAAAAAGAGAGCTTTTCGCCGAAACTGAAAATCGGAATTATATCAGCCCTGGAGCAAATATAAGAGGAAATAAAAGTTCTATATTGTAAATGTCATTTTTTAGCAGGAGTGCAACTGACAATGAGCGAATGTATGACAGTATCCAGCGACTGCATTTAACATAAACATATAAACAGGACTGGTACATGATTGTGGAGGTGTTTAGTATAGAGTTACAGAAGAGTTACTGAAGTAACCGGACATACATCGTCTTAACTTTAACCGACTTCCTAGAGCAGATACAAATCAAAATGAAACACAGTGCAGTCTTAGCTTTATCGGAAAAATGCTAAATTCATGTTAATGAATTAACGAGTGAATGATGTTAACTAAGTTAATGGAAAAATTCTTCCTTACTTACTTACTTAAAAAAACTTTTCCTTACTAAACAATGGCTGTGGTATTATTTCTTCTATTCGCTTCGTGCAGGCAATGGATCCCTAAAGAAATAAATTGTGGGTTGATGTATGTAGAGAACCATATAAATAGCGCTTTCCATATTAGCAATTTACTCGTTCGGCACGTATTGTTTTTTGTAAACAATTCTGTATTTATTTCAAATTTTTTTCTTTCAATCGATTCAGCGGCGCCCCTCCACACTGAGAGTGACAGAAAGTACACTCTTGTCTTGAAGATATTTTCATTTCGAAAATGTCGGATGTTATTAACATATCTATAAATTATTAGGAGGAGCCTGCGCTCATGCTTATGGTCAGATCAACGACTACAAGATATTCGACGATAACTCGTATTGGTACAACAAGATAATGTCGTGAACACTACCTATATAATAGGTACATCTTTAATTGCGCGGACGCTTTATAATATTTCGTACTATATCCACAATAGACAGGGAATGAATCTACAACTAACCTGATTTCCCGTACGTAACCGCCGGGCTACTCTAGAGACGTTCGGGACGTCACGATCACTTCTGATATCATTACGGTTATAGTAAGAATAGTTGGCTTAATGTCATGAATATTTTGCATAGATTACTAAGATTTAGCTTGTATTTGTCGTTGCTATTTGAACAGTGCGTTTTTATAAACGTTCATATAATCCGGTGTAATGGACGACAGCGGACGTTGCGGCTTTTCAATGGTATCGAATTTGTATCCGGTACACTGTGGGAGTTCTATTTACTCAGTATGAAGTTTAAGCTTGACTATGTGCTTCTGGTGCCTCGCATTTAGCTTTTTTTTTTTTTGTTATGACTCGTTATTTTCAGTAAAATAAAACTGGGCTTTAGAGGATCGTAATTCGTCAGCTAGCTTATTGATACCGCGGGCGTTCGAGGCGAAGCTAGTAACGGTCCTGCCTGGCATCAGACCATGTAGATGATACGCATACGTGTCGTACCTGCCTCAGATAACGATACACAATCCAGTTTCAAACACAATCGCAGTGGATTCGTAATAGGATTAAGCCTAAACAAATGCATTTCACGGGAAAATAGATAATCTGCTGACCATCTTACGTCTGTGATTATGCCGTTATTCGACCGTGGCACCCTTAAGAGAGCAAAACTGAGCTGATGTCGAATTTCTAGGAGTCCATGCTTAGTTTCATTGATTATTTATTATTCGGTATTAGTAACACTGATAGTTAATAGTGAGTGTGTAACTTTCAGCGAAACAATCGAACGCTACATACATATTTAGGATAGAATACTTTTATTATACCTTAACCATCTGTTTACTGGATAAAAAGCTTCTTTAGTTGGCTTTTCAGATCTGCGTTCCGCATTCGAGAAGCACACAACTTTAATCCTTTCGTTTTGGCAGTGACTCAATCATCTGAAGCTGGATTTATGTAAATACAAGCTATACGATTAGAAACGATACACTATAGCATTTTAATTCACCCAAGATACCCATCGTAAATCATACATATATATATATATATATATATATATATATATATATATACATATATATGACCGTACGCGAAGCTGTTCTTGCTTGGCTTTATATTTATTTGAGTTCGGCATGCCAAAGCGATAAGAAAAATGGTTTATTTAACAAGAATATCATGAAAAGCATGCACCACCTCACTATGCTAAATGAATCCACCTAAGATACTACAGCTTTCTCCAGGATCCAGTTAGATACTTGGCGCTGGGAATTTGCTTGTTTGTAGCTTCTTCAGTACTGACCGACGACACCTCGATTGCTGCTTTAGCAGACAACTTTCCTCCTAGAAGATAAAACAGCTTTTTAATAGTACGGACAACCACTGCGGTAAATTTTATGTCTTTAGTTCGGAAGTGCATGAGCACTGCGCTAGTGAAATAAGCTCCAAGACATCTAGCCGGCCGCACCGTTGCTCACTTATTAGTTCATACGGAAATGTCCCTATGTATATCGCTGCCCGCATATACGTTCGTGGTCCTGAGAAGAGAGCCTTTTGCAGGAAAGGGGAAGCTCGATTATTAGACCTGTACCAGCCTGATATCGGTGCTGTTGACGACTGGTTGATCTCCTTTACCAACCACATCTCCCAAAGTGGATTTGCCGCTGTAATAAGAAGAACACTTTTTTTTTTTTGTTTAAATGATACCGTCATACGCCCCTTATCCGCGTGGACTGTAGATTTGCGGCGAAACAGCATTCATCTATGATATTTCTAATCGTTTGCCGTCGCTTTTCTCAAGACACACTTTTGTCCTTTATCTAAATGCTGCCAGAAAGAATCCCTTATAGACATTAGTCTTTACAATTAGAGCTCAATGTGCAATTAATATTGGTTCTACGACAATTTCGAATGGCCGCTAAAATATATTTCATCCTGTGTATTTCAAGGCACACTTTTTGGATTTGTTATGTTTATATCGATAAAGTATTTCAGAAATACAGCCTCTACGCCGACAGAGACAGCACAAGATGTTTTTTTTTTTTAATTATCCTGTGACGCAAATACATGGGTAAACGAGCTTGCGGATCTGTTATCAGGAGTGGTTAATATACGCCATTTTTAACCATGTGAATTTCAGTTTAAAAAAGTAGCTAAAGATATTTGTAGCTATAGTATACTGTTGACAACGCCGAAACTAACCGTAATCCAGCTGGTTGATTGTTTACGTCTAGTAAGTTCCATATAAGTTCACAGAAGAAATGACTGTCACGAATACGTCTATGTAAATATAGCACGCTGCAATCGGCGCCTGTGAGCCTCAGAAGAGGCTGTGAAGTTTCATAAGATACTGATAACTTAGCTGAGTTAATTAACCGCTAGAGCATTAAGGTGTAGCTATATATGGAAATGTCCGTACACGTATCTACGTGACGACAAGAATAGTTGCGTGTTCCTAAGATTAACGATAGTCGAGTTATTATTTCCTTACATATTTTCCTTGCAGCTTTTCAGTGGAAAGCACCATTACACAGCCTCAAGCATATTTTCTAATATCTCGGAAATGAATTCTTAAGGATTGTTATTAATTATGGTTGTTAAGAATTGTTATTTTTTCACTCTCTTATTCGGCTCTTGTTATTCACTGTCTGAATTGATTTATCCGCTTCTCTATTGATCGAGCTATATTTTTGTTTTTCTAACAAAAACCTAATAGTATTGGCCTTCTGAAGTATTTTATTATCATAGCAAAGACACTTTTCATAGACTGTTGATAGTTTTGTTGACTCAAATGCTCGCTATACGCAGTGTCGAATGAAAGGAAACATACCGCCTACCATTAACAAAGGAATCTTTGTCGCTAGGTGATCTGTGGTCCCATATTATTAGTCTCTGATAACAAGCAGATAATCTTGGCTATACCGGTAAATTAGAAGCGTGTCAGGCTGTAAGGGAATTACAAAGCAGTTTGAGCAATGTCATTTTGCAGAGGGGTTTTACGCGGGTTGAAATTTACCTTTGTGGAGCAATTTTTGGTTTCAAGAACGTGGCGCTGATTTTTTTAATTCATTTAGTAAAATTTACGCAAAGCGCAAGACGTTTCCCTTAATTTCTAATGATTAGAACGATTACGTCACTCGTTGTTGTTGTCTTCCAATGCAGTTTTAACGTATGAGCGACAATATTATTCATTTTCAAAAGTGATTCTGAAAAAATACCTCCCCTATATAAACACCGTTTTTGGCTATTTTCGATAATTTACATATCCAGCACCATATCTAACGTGATGTTATTTGCTTTACAAATGGCTGTTTGATGTTTACTTAATGAAAAACTTAGCCTTATTTTACTGAATCCCCCACAATTTTCCCCCCACAAGATCCAAACTCAAATATGTTCAGGTGTAGACATGCATACAGCCCAATTTAGTGAATTATTTGGGTAACGAGAAATACATTAAAACTCTTTTACTATGGATTATGTATGTTCATTAGGGAATTCGTTGCATATAAAATACAAAAAATACGGGTTCCACTGGAGATCTCGTACTTCTCTCTGATCCGTCCCATACAAAATTGTATTCAAACACTTGCTTTCAATGAATAGGAAGCGTACACAGTTTTGATACATGTAAATAGCCCGCGAACCACGAAGGTCTACGATTTTCGTCTAATACGTATCTAAACATCCCATAGATAATTCGAGACAATCCAAAATAATAAAAATTTTATTTAAGAAGCAAAAATTATTAATGCTATAAAGCTAAATATTTAAATCAAAATTAGTTACAAAAAAAAAGCGATACCTTTAGAAAAGTTAGCTATGTATAGTATATTTATTCTGGTATCTATATTTGATTGATCCTAGACGACAATATCTTTTAAGCTCTAATATTTATATTATCTGAGGTTATCGAATTAGCTTGCATGTCTAATTCTCCTAATTAAAGTAGTGTGATATTTTGGACTAAGTAGCAGACGTCCGTAAGACGACAATCGCAGTTCTGTATTTGTTGAATTTGTCATTGTACATACATTTGATAGAAACAGCGAGAGAAAGAAAACCCCAAATGAATCTATAACAACTGTTGAGCTGAGGAAGATACATATCCAGTCAGACGTTCGTTCTAATTTAGCGGTGCTAGATTAAGGCACTGAACAAAGAAGTTTTAGATACAATTTTCTGAAACTTAGCGTTTGTAAAAATACTAGTGGTGCATTAGATTTCATTCCCAATCAACTTCAACTCACGCGGTAAGTTCTCTATTTTTTTCAAAAATTAGCTCGTGGGACCTTTCGTGCATTCACTTTTCAGCCCTCTAGAAAAACGAGTAGATCATATGCCTATGGTCATATTTTAAAAACGTCTTCGCGGTCTTCTATGTATCTTATAAGATAAAAGTACCATAACTATGAGGTGTTGGTATTTTTTCCGTGTTACATATCTGTTCCGAGTCATCCCGTCAAAGTAAGTTGAGACAAAGTCAACAAGTTTACTTAACCTTCAAATTAATGAGGCCCCTGGGCTTCGGTGTTTGAATAATTGATCGTTGAATTTCATTAATGAAGTGGCAAACCATAGCCGCCAACGGTGCGTGCTGCTCTGAAGAACCACCACGCACCGTTGGAACGAGGAATATCTGTAAGGTGACATGGTTTTCTCCTAAAAAATCGACAGCTTGTCACTTTTAATGCTTCCGTAAACCCACTGTTATCAGTTAACAATTTTTTATTCCTTTTCGAGTGCTTCTTAAAATGAATGACTAACCAGCCGAACAGGTTTTCATATACGTACTTACGGCGTATCACTATCTCACAATACCAGATAGGGGCATCCTGGTTACTATACTATTGAGATTTTTTATTTAAACTCTTCTTAGAAACAAAAACAAAAAAAAAACAGAAAAAAAAAGCACCCTCTTATCTCGTTATATTTTCAGCACTATTTTCGCGTACCAAGTTATAACTAGGACCGAAAGAAAATTGCGATTCGCCACACAGTTGCAAGTTAGCTGCAACGATCTCTTAGACAAGAGGTTGTCACACTTAGATGGTAAACATTGTACTAAAAAGATGTTTACATTTATTCGAAATTAAATTCTCGCTTTGATTGAGGATGCTTTATTATGTATTGATAGGATATATTAGTTTTACGCGACACATTTGTATATTCCGATAGCCAACTGTGTTGCGTGATAGATAACATGCTATGTATTTTATACACATGATGAAGTGGTAACAATGCTTCTTCGCAATAGTGCAGCGGTAGCGGTTTTCAGCTAAAGTAAAAAAATAGATTTTCTCGTAACTTTTTTTTTCTTTATGTGGATCTCACAACTTCGTGAGGCCCAAAATCACTAACAATGATGGCATTATAACTTGCCAGCATAAAAACATTGCTAACTTTGCATGTAACAGTATTCGAAACCTAATCACTACACTCTTCCGACATCACCTTGTTATATAGTAATAATTTGGATTTATCATCGCGCTAGCGGGAGTTCCGTGGATCCATTACACACGCAAGGGGATCATGGCTAAAGTGCCTGTTTCTCTTGTCCAGACGTTCAGATTTTTCAGGACATTTAATACAACTTTGTGCAACCGTAATCTATTTTAGAATGTTTTCAAAAGCATGAAACGTATGTTACGAACCGCTATTTTCGAGTGATTTTTCACGTAGTACACGCGTATATTGAAAGAACGTGTTAAACCTTCAACGTGTTAGAGGTAGGGTTCTCAGGAATAAACCAAAAAGTCTATAGCCACTCCTTTTCCTCGTCTTTCCATGGTACAAGCGCTTCTTCGCGCTTGTACCATGGAAGCGCGACCTTTAAATTTTCTTCCGCGTGACCCTTTTCGAACGCGCACCGTAACACTGGCATTGCGTACGACACGCTAGGGATTACATAACTGTCGTGTAAAACAGAAAATTTGATATTACTATACGTTTATCAACCTAGATTGATGATGACGACGACGACGACGATGATGATGATAAAAAAACATACAGTAACAACGACTGCGTGCAGGATATACGTAGGGCTATAGGATTCGTATCGACTGAGCTATCATGGAAAACGATGTCTTCCTCTAAGAAAAAGATGCCGCTTAATTGTCCAGTTCTCACTGATAATCCTGTGCTTTGGCTCACTCTATTAGCTACTTTACTGTGAATTCATTGTTATGCTAGAGGACTAATTTATTAATTATAGAACATACTCGTCGCTTGCCAAGTTACGCAATTTTTTATGAAGCTATTTCGTTTACAGGTTCTGCGAGCCTGGTGAAGAGTCCATTCGTCTACTGTTGCATAAACGGGTCGATGATATAAGAGTACCTAGTATTTTTTTTTCTATTTATTTGTTAAAAACTATATCTTCGGGAAGGACCAATGTTATTCTGTTTATTCGACTGAACGCTTGCGTATGCTTACCTATTTTTCATAGGCACTTAACTAATAGTCCCATTATAATCATCCTACAATGAAACCTTCCTCACTATCCGGCAGCATGACAAACATGTCACACGACCTTTTGTTTAATACTCTCACTTTGTCTCTTTTGCTGCTGAGTCACGATCGTCGGAACGGTCGCAGTAATTTTTAAACAACAGCATGTAATAATGGATACGCCAACTTATTATCTAATTATAATAAAGAAGACCTGAAATTAATCTAGCTTACCAATGGAAAACCTCGAGTAATTTCAGGAGTCCTCAGGTAAATGAAGAGATTTGGTGGCGTCTCGTTATTTTTAAGTTCGCCCGCTGTAGAACGGAACAAGCCGTCAGTCTCCGTACAGGAAATGCTTTAAAACGAATTTTCGGATACCCTGGACAGAGCGGCTTAGCGCGAACGGTGACTTAAACGTTCTCTGGTTTCTTGAGTGTGGCACACGTTACTCACACAACAAAACAACCTAACAGAACTTACTTAAATAACTGCTTTACCTAATCCATAATGGTAGAACGAATCTTAGCTCGTTATTTTTTCACCCGCGGCTGACTCCCAGCCCCTACTGTCTGTGTCGCTAGGGGTCTTCGAGGGGGGGCCGAGGGAAATCACGGCACAAATAAACCCAATTCAACATCAGACGAACTCAAAAACGGCAAATTACAAAGTGTCGATTCCAGTGTAAAGTACTTTATGCCATGCCTCCTTCCATCACTTGTTGTTGGCTATCCGGTCGATATCCTACTGGATTTTTCTCCCGATACACCTATAATACCGCATGGCAGCAATATGCCATAGTAGGGATCTGCCAACAAAATTCGAATCAACAATGACCAAATATTTATAGCAACGTATTCAAATAAACGCGCATTGACCATCCAGGCTACGCCGCCGCAATAAGTCCTTATAAACATCAAGCCTAGAAGGATCCAACTAGAAGGTTTTAATCAAACCCAAAAAAAAAGATTGCTTAGCTGAAGATTAGTTAGAAACCAGCTATGCGTAACAATAGGATATTTGCCACTGAAAATTAGATGGTGGCTTTGAAATCTATATCGACCGGTAGTCAGCTTGCGAAATGGTCACTCTCCGGACGTTGATTCTGCGAAACGTAGCAACTAATAAGATTTCCGCATAGTTGAAGTGGCGATTGGTAATTGCTCAGAATAGCTCGAAAACTGAGTTGATAAAAAAAAAAAAAGTTGAGCAGACACCGACTATAAAAACCATCATTTTTCACAAATGCCTTTCAGTATCGAAATGGCACAATTAGGCGTTTTCTTTCTCAATCGAATATTAACTTGTGCATGTAGAGATAAAGTGATCATTTATCGGTATACATATGTGTTAACATAAAGAAGATGTATTGTTCTTGAGGTGCCCGAGACACCTCACCGGCACGTCTCGCTAACAAGCTTAGATCGATTGAGGGCATCACTTCTGATAGGGAAATAAACAGAGTTATCTGCGATTGCGGTGGTCAAAGCGTACCGTAGCTGCAGGCGCATCGCAGCCTCGACCTTCAGGTCCTTGAGGATCGTCAATGAAAAAATTTTACTTTCGGCCAAATTTCTCACGCGCATCCAGATTGGCACCTGACAAAACTGAGTTAATAGTACCAAATGATTTCTGCGCGCCGCAAGAACTCAAAATGGGAATACTTCTGAGGTTATGCATGTCTGTGTGGCACATATGGTTACAGTTTATGTTAAACATACAACTCTAAGAACTGACAGCAGAAGTCAATATTATAGATCTAAACAAATAGCATAAGAAAAGCGTGTCTTAGATCACAAAAGCATGAAAGAATCTGCCACGATTTATAATGAGCCACACATCTTATGATTGGTCCATTTTAGTTCAAATATAAAGCTCTGATAAATCTTCTGTAGACTACAATTCTCGTTCATAGAGGTGTAGGACATGGAGTATCCTCACCGTCCAAATGAAGTTAGATTCAGATGTTTCGTGAAGCGTTTCTAATGAGCTCAGAATCTTCTATTTGACACAAAGTTATCATCAGTTTTCGCAATTGAATCTAGCTTGCCTCATTTGCGAAAAAATAAACCTTCCGAAATATCGAAGTGAAATATCTAAATAAACAAATGGTGGACAACTTTACATTGGTTTCGGTTCCTAACGCTAGACGGAAAAGGTTTTATTACAGATTCTGCACGTTGACGCATCCCTCTATGAACTCTTCTCAGCCACCGAAAAATCTACTTTACTGTCTAAGATCTTATTCCACGTTGTGATAATAACAGAAAAACGTATTAGCGAAAATGCGCACTGTTATACAAGGATGAGCATCTTCTGCTATGCTTATAAACGGGACAGTCTTGTTTACGTATGGTTATTTCTTGCGTTTGTGTTCGAGTTACCAATGAGTACAGATTTGGCCAAATAACTGAGATAAACGACTGTTTCACTAGGAGCTCTAGGGTTTTTAAGCTGGGTATTTCTTCCTATTAACTCTAGTCTAAACTCACAATCAGAGATACGTCGTTTTATAGCATTGTCACGACGTCAATTTTTTTACAAGATTCGCTATTCTACTCGATAGTACTTGCATCACGGAAAAACAAAAGAGTACAAACATGTAGAATTCCAACAAATAAACTGGCTAGATATATATAAAGCTCTGCTTGCTTGTCCAAACAAAATTGACGCTTTAAGGCAGTATGGTCGGTTTGATTTTTAGCGGATTGCTACGACACCATTAGGAAGCAAAGCAGTTATTATTCGATAAAGATTACTATCAGTCGACACCAATTAGTCATTTTTGGCGGCTTTCCTAGCAGGACTTAGCTAGACAAAAATCCATATCGTATGTAGCAATCGTATCGTCTGCTATCGAAAGTGTTTGTGTATTTCTTATAATATAGGAGAGCCACGTGGGTTTTATGTACATGTATTAGTCCTCAGTATTTTCAAGTCTACGGCAAAGGTTCTATTCTAGTTAAGACTTGTTCGAGGAAGTGTGCCAACAATAGATATTTTGTTTACCTTTTAATTTATTTTGAGTAACAAAATTTACGACGAAAATTTTTCTCGCTTTCGACATCAGCGTTGTGCTTCGAGGATGAAAAATGTCGTTTCAACCAAATTCATCGATTTCGGCATAATGATTCGGAAAAGTGATACAACCCAACGAGCGCCATTCATTTGAAGCGGCGGGCCTGAAGTCGACTAATTGAGGACTCTTGTACAGTCACTTCGGTTGTGCAAGCTGAATATTCAGTTGCGATAATGACAAGGACGAAGAGAATAAGAATAGTGATAATAATTACGGGAAAAGAAGATCTACGCGAACGCGTATATCTGTGGACATGGGTCTAGTGGGACGTAATTGGGTGATATGGTGAAGATATAATGTGCTAAAAGGGCTTGCAAACTCATTGACATCTCACACCGACACATCCTGATAGTAATCACGTTTCGATGGTGCAACGTAGTGCAACGTTTCAATCCGATGGATTTATGTTTCGCTACTGAATGTTCTTAGTACAGTCTTAGGCAAAAAAATATTTTTAGATAGTAGATGATCAATAATAGATCAAAGCCATTTAGTAACCGGACGGGACGTCAGTGTACCATATCGCTTCACATTGTATGATCGAAATTTCTTGTTTAATCCTATATTCAATGTACGCGTATCCGCCTTTTAACGATTTTACTAAAATTACTAACGTTAAGCAGTTATTCTAGAGAGTTTTAAATCGGAATAGAGGAGACCTATGAAAGAAAAACTAACAATGAGTACGAAACTTTTAGTCTCACAGCGTGTGGGGCATATAGGACACGACATTGTACCTGTGTATGCTTTGAAGGGCATCGAAAGAGATCTCAAGACATTTATTAGTCTTTTAGAGCGAAAACGACTTGTGGTTATATTCAAGATTTGCTCGTCCGTGTAAAACTGTGATCTGAGGGGGCAAAGCCAGCGGCTATAAAGTGTCGCCTTTCAAACGGATCATCGTATTCGTCTAAGGATATCTAACATTAGCAACAAGAGATTCGTGATGAGCACCAGCTTTGAATTGGTATGGTACACTTTCGGTTCACGAAAGCCTGGTGCAATGTAGGATCGAATCAATCTGACATACTCATTCCTTTCTTTGCTTTTTATCTGCTTTGGTTAATCAGACAACGGTGGAATTTTTTCGTTCATCCGCACGAGTGATTCAGAGGGCAAAGTTCACCATCGACTCAAGATGCCACCTCTATGGCTCCTCCTCAAATAGGCGAGAAGAGGGCAAGCTGCGGACAATTCACGACGACACTTCCGAGAACCCAATGAAGTCAAAACCCTTTAACGTAGATGACTGCTTGGTCTAGGCTGACTTAACGTGGTACAGCTTGCGATGCGGGCTGTTTGACTCCGAGTCAAACGGAGGCAAAAAGGCATTGATATTTGTAAGCAACACGTAACCGTGCGGAAGAAGTGCTCGGCAAAATTTGTGGCTTAAAAAAGTTTCTTCGATACAGGCGTGTACTCTGTACGTTGAAAAACGTGCGTAAAAATGCTTTACAACAACGAGGTTCAGTTTCTTGGGATGCTGATAATGACATCATTGTGTACGATTATTGAGCTTACGGCAGCGTACCCGGCTGATATGAACCGAGGTAAGTAGTGTTTCGTTCTATTGACTGGCCCGTTTACCCATGAAGTAGGTTTCATTTGCTAATGTCGTGTTATACGAAGGACGACTTACCAAGGTGTCAGGTCGCTACGAAGTAGACACCTCAAAAATGTGTTCGATTTCTCACATTATTTAGGTGACCCAATCCAGTTGCTTACGCTGTTTAAATATTAATAAAAAAAAAACGCTAAAAAAATAGTGCTAAAGGAATATGGTTCCTATATTATCCTATAGGTAAAAGCAGATAGTCAAAGTGTGCTTAAAGAGTGTGCGCTGTAAACACGGAGGACAATGTGATAATTTTTCTTAACATTTTTATTGCTACTGTTCTATTACGAATTTTTCGATTATATTTTTTGCTAAACAGACAGATTGTCTATGTTTCGAAAATCAACACTGAGCTTCTCACTTGAATGGTCGTTTGGATGATAACCACCATAGTCCATAGCGTTGGAACGGCCCTTATCACATGCTATCTCAGCTTGAAACGAGGACATTGTTACAGAATGTCTATGTATGCGTTATGTTCAAGATTCTGTTTTTGAATTGCAGAAAAATGCAAAAGTGACGGGATTTATTGGCAAGTCCACGCGGGAGAAATGATTCCGTGTAGTCCGACGTGCGATCAGGTGTACCGGCTTACCGACCGCAATGATGTTTCAGGAAAAACAATTCATGAGCACTGTAAACTCAACACATCGGTTGGAAAATACTACCACGACATCGCTAATCGTACCATGTTCGTTGTCCAAGTAGCCAAACGCAAAGTGCATGAAACGCTTGTTCACGCTAACCAGGATACAGAGTACAGATACACTATATAAACGTTGCTGTGGTTTTTTCTTTTTAAGTACTATTAACTAGTTTTGCAGCTTATTAGAACGTCTCCTTTTGTCGAACGCCATACATTCGTTTGGACAGGTGACTAAACGGTAAAACGGTCACACACACACACACACACACACACACACACCTACACACACACGCACCTTTACAATTTAACAAATGCCTGCAGGCGTGGAACTTGACACACCTTAGTAATTGTCAACATTACATAGACACATAGCCAGCTATTATAAACGTAACTGTTTGTTTGTGTGGCGCTCTTCAACGGTAGGTGCACTTGCACGAACGGAGCAGCTTACAAGTCCGTGTCATCGATCGATTGGAGCTCGATTTCCGAGGTAACTCAGTGGCACTGCATCCCGCCGTCCAGCTGGAGCTTCCAGCTCACCAAGGCAAATACGTATCGAGTAGTCTGTCTCTAGTGTAACCGCGATGGCAGATATGTGATAACGTTGCCTGATAAGCTTGACCACTCGTTTTACTACCTCGTATCGGGCACCGAACGTGTTTCCCGATGCGTATGTACATATGTGTAAAATGGCGCTCAACTCATAGTTTTCGCCACTGAAATATAGTGAGCATGTTAAAAAGGCACGGAGAAAATCAGTCGTAACCGGAATAATCCAACGTTTCTACTGGCGTTCTACCGTAATAGACACGGTTAGTTGTCGAGAAATTGATTGTGACTATAGATTGGCAAAAACCATAGAAAATGCGTAATGCCTTGCGCGTGCATGCGATCGTAACTTATCGAAATTTACGAAAAAATATATGAATAGCCTCTATGCGCAGTTACAGCACTGCACAGATTAACGTAGAATTTTTACAAAATAACAAATTTCCAGCTCGCAAGAACCCAAATAGCTTATTATGGATTAGATCCGCTACAATGAGAAGTAAGCTATAAATGTAACTAGCGCTCCTATCCCAGGCTGTCGATTTATTGATATGTCTATCGAAATAATAAAGCAACGTTGTTTTCAGTTCGGTAATCAGTTTCTTGTTATCATAGTCATCTTCGGACCAACTTCACTCGTTTCAATAGAAGAACAATCGCTGTTGGTGTAGGTCAGCAGAAGTCTTCGTTTATCATAGCCTGCCCTTTTTGAAGCTGACGTCGCGCAAACGCTCACCTCATAAGGCGAATTCACAACGCCTGTACTATTTGCATAGGATCGTATGAATATTCGATGTAAATCATTAGTGATTCACCATATGGATACATTAAACGGGTTTAAGGCGATGCTTCCTAGACTCGAAAGGCAAACGTAAATGGCGCTCGCTAGAGACAGACTGTAACTTATTTCAGTCATTTGAGATGTTGCGTCGTCCACGGCCATTGTTTAGCCTTTGGTAGCATTTAGCTACAATATCTAAGTTAAACAATGTTTTTGCACGACCTTTGAGCTAAATTCATATCCGTTTAATAAATAGTAATTATAGTTTGATACAGTAAAATAAGCTTTTTTAGCCAATTTGAATAAATAATCTTATTTTGCGAAATTTCTGAGAAAATGGCAACATGTGCAATGTTTCTGTAGATAAATGTATATACTAAAAGTTACATTATTGGAACTAAACACGTGCGCGCCGGCAAACAAATCTCATTCTGAAATCTGAGCGTTGGCCAGTGCTTGCCGATATGCGCAACCCCCATACGTACATAGTAAAGTTCTAGTTGTATGTGGAGCGAGGTGTACGAGGGATACAAGTAAAAAGCGAACTTCCGCGAATCAGAAAACGTAAGTAAATCGAGCCGTAGCCGTTATAGGAATTATTTATTTATCTTTTCTAGTTCTTCGGCACATTTGTTACATTCGTTCATAGTCACGTTTGTTGCGTAGCGAGTAATAATCTATACCTATAGCAACGTTACTTCTTCATATTCTATGTATCTTCGAACAACTTCTTTACAAGGTATAAACCTATCTGAAAATGATCAGAATCGAAGTCACCACGACCTACGAACTTAGAAGTGCTGATTAAATTTAAAAACCATTTGCTTTTTTTCGTTCTATTTTATGACAGTGCATGTTTGATTTTGCCCACTGCGCCTAACTAAAACAGAAGTGTACGGACTATTAGAATTATAATGATATATATCATCACCGTCATACTTGACATCGTCCTCACAATATAAAAAAACTGTTTAATTAATCATGATAATTACGTCATTCCAATAATCGCAGTATTTACATAAAAAATGTACAACTGTTTTTAAAGTAATGTGTTTTACGCCGACCTATATAGCGTAGTGTGGTTTTTGATACAAGAGGGCACTGCCGAAACTGCTAGTAAATGTTGTCGACCAGCATCGTTTCTAGGATTAAGGTATAATTACCGTAATGTAGCATAACGTAAATGAACATTTGTTGATTTGTTTGTAGCTTCCGTTGCCCTCTGCGTGTGGTAAAAACACCATAATATATGGCAATAGTTCGCGGAACGTAAATATAAATATTAGTAGCCAAAGCTGGTGTGTACAACGAGAGGCAAAGTTATTGTTTGCTGACATTTTTATAGGTAATAAATAGTACCGAAGGAAAATTCGAACGGGGGTGAAACAAAGCATCCGGGATGTGGGTACCTTCAAACGCGTGCATCTGGACCGAACGTAATTTGCACCTACGTTAAAATATCACAAGGGCATTTTGTTTGTTTGTTGTTTTCCCTTTTCGAATGATTCATGAACGAATATGCAATGCAAAATCAATTCTGCTATATTCGAAACTCAGCGCTTATACCTATTTTAAAAATAGCGAATGAAGTCATTAAAACTCGTTGTCATATAGGAATTGAGTGTCATTTGAATTAGTCATGGTAAGTTTATCTATCTAAATGAGACAGTAGTAATCACTATCATAAAGCGTCCTATTTAGAGCGTTAAGTAGCGCTCATGACATAATTTGCCCGGTCAAAGGTCCGCAAAAGGCTATACGACATTAACTTCTCATTCGAGCTTCGCCTAGGAAGAACCAACAATGTAGCCTGCAGATAGGACGCCTGCAAACGAAGTCGATCTGTAGTACCTTTGAATTTTGAGCTTCATTTTTAGTTCCTTGAATGTCAGGTCACCGAGGTATCGAGTAAGTGTAACCATGTAAGTTCATCACTCTTAGCTTTTAAGTGCAAGCTCCTTCGTATTAAACACATTCTATTCACCGTCACCCGGTCGTATTGCAAGGCCAACAGCTGATTGTGCTGTATTTCTGTGATCGTTCTCTACTGTCCGGCTAATTGTAACATCTCTGACATCTATTTGTTCTTGCATTGATACAAACTACTACCATTTTCATATATTTCGTTCGCATTGCAACTTGTTAGATATTTACACAATATGGCTGACTTCTTCCTTTCGATAACAACTGTCGAAAATACCTTGTAGCTGTGCAATCCAAAACGCAGTTTAAAACACGGCGCTAAAATGGAATTGTGAAAAATTATATGACTGACAGCAGCCGAGCTTGCTTTTGTCTGTGTTTCTAAGCTGTCTCACTCGAATTTCTACAGACGACCACTGTCGGTTTGTATAAAAATACAATTGCGTCACACTTCATGAAGCTATCATAATCAATGGCTAAATTAGCCAAATAAAATATTATCCGAGTGGCTGACTAACTTTAATACTTTTTTCATTTAATTTATTCTAATTTAAATGAGTCGTTCCTCCGGTGGAGGTTTAATCACATGAGCCATCTCGACCCGTGAGCCATAGATCTCTTGGCGTGACGGTGAGTACGTTCCTCGCGTTGCCCGTTTTCTTTTCGCCACCCGGAGAAATAGACCTAAAACACAAAGGGCGGTATTTAGTCAGGTTTTATTCATTGGCTAGACAAACAATACTATATAACAAACGTATTACCAATGGCAGCGGAAAAAAGAGGCGCGCTCCACAAATAAAAAAAAGGTTTTGACACGCAGCGGTAGAACCTGTAAAAAAATGTCAGCTTGTGTATTATTTGGCAATATTGGACGTTTTGCGCGTGCTGGACACGTTTAGTACTGAAGACGGCGTATCGTTGCTTAAGCGTCGTATATTACATAATAATCGACATGATAACGCTTGCGGGGTGTGCTTGTATATGTGCCCCGCGTGTGACTATGGACAACGTACCAACGGCAACGATAAAGCAGAGCAGAAGGACGCAGGCAGCCGAAAGGCCAACGATCAGTCGTACGTCAGATGAAGACAGTGCTGTCCGCTGCTAAATTAGGAAATGGCAAATATAACAGTCAATTTTCTATCATCGTTATTATGATTCCCGAAGGTGTAAAGAGGGGTCTGCATATCTACTGTTTCAAATGCGCATTAGAAATTATTAAGCTTAGCCCTGTATGAGTAGAAAACTTTCCCGTTCGTTTTATACTTACATCTTCGCATCTTTGTCCGGTAAAGCCTTCGGGGCAACTGCATACGAATTTGAGATCATTATCCTCAAAAGGTACACACGTACCTCCATTTTCGCAAGGATTTTGGTCGAAGCATGTATTGTTGTAGGCACCTGGCGGTTAGATACGTGAAACAAAGAATAGAAACAAATGGCAGTGACATATCTTCTCCAGTCCACCCTACTAATACGAGAAGTAGAACTCTTTAAATTGATTCGAACGAAACGCACACTTGTCTTTTCATTACATTAATGAAAAACTGCTCATAGTTGGGTGCTATATTGATTATTGTCGTTTTTCTATACGTGTGCAAAAACAGTCAAATATTTGAGAAGGCAGAAAAAGCCTACTGAAATGTATTACATACATGTCTGTCCAAAGAAGTCTGGCGGACAGCGACACTCAAATGAACCCCTCAGATTTTTGCAGGTGCCACCGTTGAGACATTTCTTTAAAAGGCATTCATCAATATCCTGCTCGCAGCGTTCTCCCTTGAAGCCAGCTGGAAAACCCAAATTACAATTAAATGTATTAGATGCAAGTACAGGTACGGCGGAAGTCATGGCTATGTAACATTATAATAAACTTAATCGATCCGTTCCGGTGTCCAAATTAGATCAAGATCACAGTGAAGCTTTAAATAACAGAAATAGAAAACTGCGTTTTGATGAAAACGGGTCCTTGATGGATTGCCTAGTAAACATAGTTCCTATACACACTTCCTCATAAAAACAACTTACTTCCGCTACAGTTACAGGTGCGTCCCCCCAAGTGTTTTGTGCAGGTGGCGCTATTTTCACAGCCATCAACCAGACAGTAATCGATCTCGAAATCGCAAATATGACCTGTGATAAGAATTAACAGCAGTAATAATATTGCAATTACACATAAGCAAATACTACCTCTTCAATGTGGCCAATGGATGTGTTTTTACAATTGAAAGCCTACTGGATTTGTTTAGACCGTTTATACTTTCTTGAAATGTATGGATTCCTCACAGATGCTCTGTCCATTTTGATATATGGCGTTTGGCCTTGTAACTGAGATCCAGTGTTCGAATGAGGACCTACCTCCATAGCCTTTTTGGCAGACGCATTTAAATGTTGCTTCATGGTTCAACGATTGACAATGTCCACCATTTAAGCACGGTTGTGCTTTGCAGAAGTTCTTGGGAATTTCACAATCACGTCCCTCGAAGCCCGGCGAACACGCGCATTCGTACTACAGTAAATCACATCGTATAATTTCATTGTTAATACAATCGAGTTACTGTTGTGTGCAGTATATTCTGTTGGCAGTGCTAAAATACCTCAGTAGAATCTATCTTGTCGGTCGGACCTTTCGGGTCGATTTTCCCGTACATGATTTTCATTTGAAGACACTAGCGGGTTTTCTGTCTCAGATAAGATTCGGGTCAGCAGTAACCTTTTGTCAAGGAACGGAAATAGGATCAGCAACATTTAATGAATAAATGTTTTTAGCTAGACTCACAGCAATGGCCGTATCTTCGACAGGTGTTCGATTAGCGCACGTTCCACCATTGAGACAGGGCACAGAATTGTAACAATCAATAATGCGCCGTTCCTGCAACAAAGAAAAATTGCTATTCTTAACTGATTGTAGCTTTAGAGACCAGTGTTGATTTTTTTTTTATCTGCTATTGTTGAACTTGATATACGGTTTATATGAACGTAAGCTTTTACCACTATATAATACGGATCGTTAACATCCTTTTAAAGACTCTTTATTTAAGTATCTTACGAGATTGTACATTTCCTTTTTAAATCTTAAGCTTTTCGAAAGTTGACTTGTGACGCAACTCAATCGCGACTGTGTGTTGCCACTGGGAACACGTTTCACGTCTATTTTGACGTGTAATGACACAGGATAGCATTTACTACTAGTGATGTTACTGCTACAAATAATAAGCAAGTGGCAAAAACTCAATGAAAGAAGCAATAACTGGTTCTGTTAGGAAGCGAGGCGAACAGATGCATATTTGCTACCTGGCAAAGAGGTCCATCCCAGTCATGACTACAGAGACAAGAGAAGTTTCCTGGAGCAGTATCCTCACAAGTGGCTCCATTGCGGCAGGGACTTGAACGGCAATAGAAAATACGTTCTTCGCAACGCGCGCCTTCGAAACCTTCCGGACAAACACACTGGTAGGACCCAACTGTGTCCCGACACGATCCTCCATTCTATAACAGCTCATGGAATTAGAAGAGATTTGAGTTAGTCGCATTTGAATGGCATCTGGTATACAGCGGCATTGGCATCATCGTATTTTATATCATTTTTGCTACTTTAGCTCCGATTGCTAAGACACAATGGGTGTGTAATACGCGGAATCTTACGAGGCATGGTTCAGACAAGTGCGTGCATTCATCGACATTTTCCTGACAATTGGTGCCCTGCCAACCAGCTTTGCATTCACAACGAAACGAAAGAGTAGGTTCTCGACATTTGCCTCCATTATCGCAGTCCCCCTCCCAGCAGAGTACCAAGCCAATTGTGGGACGAGCTGAACCGACCTACGAACCACAAGTCATCGAAACACACACAAACGTTGCCCTTTTTTTTTAGTAAAACTTCAACAAATTACGAACGAAGTTCAATGTTTTATAGTCATCGATCCGCTCGCTGTGTAGACGATGTTTAGTTGTTTTATTTCTCGAGTGGACTATCTTCAACAAAAAAAAAGCACGACTGAGCTACCTGCTCATATATCACTGCTAGTACCCACCATGATGAACTTGTTCTTTGCCGTACTGTTTGACAGTTGTGAATCCTCGAAGAAGGGTAGAAGAATTCCACCTATCCGGACTTCGCCGAGGGCTCCCTTCAAGCGTTCGCCAAGACGAATCTCTTCGAGTGTCGACCCGAAACTCAACGGCAAAGTGAGTTGTATTTCCGTTTTCATGTTGTCAACATCCATTTCCAGCTAAAAATGCATACGGTATTTGTTGAATTGTATCGTGTTATCTGCGATTGACTATTTTAAACTATTATTATTACTACTACTAAATACTATTTAATTAGTATAGCAGAGACCTTGTTGGGAGCACGAGACGTCAGTTTGAAGTGGTGCCACTGGCCATCCGTAACGGGCTGTTCTCCGACATCCACCTGCAAGGTGTTTCAAAGCGTTACATTTAGCACAATTACTTTTACTAAGATAGGTAGGTTTTCGCCTACCTTTTAAAGCTTATATTATTATCAAAGAATGCATTATATCGGATCGAAGCGTTTTCAAATACGACGACATTTTTAAAAGGATTGCGAAGTGAGTTACCGTTTGTCCGTTAGCGTTAAGACGCACACGTCCCTCGGGAGAGACTCCGACGCGCAGGAGTTGACCAGGGGATGAAATTTGTAGTAGATCAGCTGCTGATTCAAGAATTACCTGACACGTACAAACGGTATAGGTCATGCAGGCGCCAAGCGAGTTGTTAACCAGGAACGATTTGTTCACTTGGTTGAAACTGATTTGTATTAGGACTATTAAGTAGTAATTATCTTGAAAATTCCTCTTTCTTATACAACCTTATTCACACTACACAGTGATTATTATATAGACGACTAACGCTTGCTCTATTTCGGCCTAATAAATTTATCGAAGAAATGAAATGCATGTTTTCGTTGGAAGGTGCATATCGTCATAACAATTTTAGCGTACTTCGGTCCTGCATCGATCTTTACGTATGGCAAAAGCAAAGAAGGCCTCTGCGTACGCGGCTAATCGTGCACACTAAATGAATAGATAGTAAGACGCGCACCTTCAACTCTAGGGAAGTAGCGTTAGCAATGGCATTTGCGTCGAGTGAAGCTCGGTACTCGAGTGTTGTTCGTCCTTCGAAAGAAGCATTCGCCACGCATTCAAAGCCATCCACAAGGTCCTGACATTTCGAAGAACCGGGACACAAGTATTTTCTGAAACAATTACCATACAACAGTTTTCTTTAATTGGATTTATTGAAATCAATAGTTACACATTTAGTACTTGATTCGCATAAATTTTGGCTATAACACTCCACAAAAAAAATCAATAGGAATAAGAAACTATAGTCATGCGTACTAATGGCGACCCACTCAGCGGAAAGATAGTACTTGAATGCCGAATGAAAGCGGTCGCTTGTTTGACCTAGTTATGCGCTATGCACATATACAACTCTGATAAGGACAGAAACACCTCTGTTTCTGCAAAACTCTAGTAAACATACCGGCAGGGCTTGAGCTCTTCGCATAAGGGACCGCGGAAATCTTCAGTGCATCGACATTCAAAAGCGTTGAATATGTCGACACAAGATCCTCCGTTCTGACATGGATTCGAATCGCAAACAGGATCACCCTAGAAAATCGATAAAACGCTCCTTAAGCGGTTGCTTAATAGGAAGCTGTGAGTTTCAACTGCTTGGCCAAGTCCTGGCGCACACCTAATTCACAACAGAGACAATTGTTTATGGTATTTGTAACAGGTAAAACAATTTCCAGAAAGAAAAGATTAACTAAAAACTGACCATTTGACCTTCAATGACGTTATGTCTTTCGAGTGCCTTTCCAAACCAAAGTCCTCCAGCATCTTGAAGCTTAAATGGTACATGGCGATCTCCAACTCGCACATCCTGCAGAACTCCTTTTAGACGGGGGGTGTTTCCAGTAAGGTCTGTTACACCCTCAATCTGTCTTTTGTATCTTGTTAGAGCTAACGTATTTTCAACGATCAACGGACCTGCCGTTGAAGTAGGTGGGGACGCCGTAGAAGTCGAAGTTATAGCAGGTGCTCCTGTTGATGACTGTACAGGTTGCTGATCAAGTGGAGTGAAGTGCGTGGTTAAAGGAGCTGAAGTCGAAGAGTCTAAGCTAGTGGATATGTTTACACTTCGTGCAGCATCTTGTGCTCTCATTTGTGCCGAAGCAACGAGTTTCTGTGTCTCACTTTTATGCGTGTTCATCCAACCGAGGTGAAGCTCCGTTGCCTTTAACGATCCACCGTTTAACGGAAGCGAACGCATGGCCTAAGCAAAAACAACACGTAAGAAGGGTTATCATAGTCGCAGAGCAAAATAAAACGGTTTTCCGAAGGAACACGTTATATTCGAATTATATATAATTCGTATCTAGTAATTATTATAGAATCACATATAAACAGAACGCTCAATGTATTGACAACGAAATTAGGGAATGCCATTATAACTAGAAAACAAGTTTTAAGGAATAATGAGTAAATACTGTTTTTACCTAATCATTGAAAAGCCCTAGGAAACCCACACATATGAAACTTCACAAGTAAACACACACCTTATCAACTGTGACTAACAGCGCACTTTGATTTCTCTGAACGTTTATGAAGTGCTGCTGGCCGTCATTAAGCTTTACGCTATCCACCTGCATTTGATACACCGTAGAGTCAACTTTCAGGATGACTTTAAGATGAGAATGCTCTAAAACAGCAGCGAGATAGCTTTCCTGAAGCTGTTGTGTAGGTTCTGTACCTAGGTAAAATAGGAGACCCAGTGAACTGCGGGTCATTACAAACAGGGATACATCCGTCGATCTTGAAATGCTCTCTGCCTCTTCCGGTTCAATCAAGATCTGAAATAAATTCAAGAGGAAGAAGGAATACGAATTTAGAAAAAGATACTAAACCTTCCCAGGATTTTCTAAATTTTCATAATGCAGGTCCTATCCCTAGATGCGAATCGGTAGCACAATAAATCGCTACCCTTCCACTCTATATATATGTCAGTAATTGATTCGACAATACTCGCAGAGATATGTGTCAGCACTGAGGTTCTGTACGAAACAAGTAGCAGGTATGAGTAGTAACCTGTTGCCATACTGCTTTTATACAATGGTCAAGAAAATGTATCGTGTGGTACCAAATCGACCTTCTTCAGCAAAGTAAACTCAAAACAAACTTCTACGCGATGTGGATAAACCTATCACTCACTTTTACCCAAGAAACATTTCTCATAAATCCGAAGGTGGCGGCTGGATAGGATTTCTCGCATAGTTCACCGTAGAACGGTCTCCGACAAAGACAAGACCAACTGAACCATTCATCGTGGCACTAAAACATACGCATACGACACGAATTTATGGTTAAATGAATGGTCACCAAAAGCACCAGGTTGGTTGAAAACAAAAATAATCTTCAGATTTTTTTTTTGTAAATGAAAGGGCGTTTGCGTACCTCGCCTCTATTTTGACAGAGCGTGTGTGTGCATTGAGGCGTGCGGACGCAGATATCCGACGTTCCATGTAGATGTTCGATTTGCCTTGATGGGATCATCAGTTCGTCGTTGACACGTACTTGTTGCATGCAACCAATGTATCCATCGACGTATTTAGCTGTCGAAACATCGGCCGAACCAAGTACAGCTGACTTCACGTCGCCCCCAAGCAATATGCCCTCCACTTCTCCGTGGAAGTCACCTACGAAAAAACGTAGTTTCTATTTTATCCGCTACTCGATAGCCTACTCTGTGTTAGTCTTACATAGTAAGCCCATGCACTAACAATCGGTTCATGTTCTATCAGGAATGGCAATGGAAGCTAGCACTACCTTGAAAACCTAATCGGGGTTTGAATCAAAGCATTTACTTACCAACGAAAGCTTCGATACGTCCGTGAGCGGAAATAGCTAGGGTAAAATTTTTCCATTCTGCGTCATTCAGGTTACTTCCTAAACGAAGTACATCTCGGTACCTCTGCGTCACTACCAGCTGGCCTAGATGAATGCCTACAAAGGTGTCCTTTTCTAGAATAAGGTAACACGTAATCGAATGATGAATTGATAGTGTGTCGTGCGGATACCTTCGGCACTCCGAATATTTCCAGAACATTGTATCTTGGATAACTAATTACATGCTTTAGTTAAGGCGTATTACATAGTTAAGGCGTAAGTTTTTAAGAACGGTGGGTTCTATCATGTTGTAACAAAAAAATCAAAGTTTACTCACCGGTAAGCACATTTAGGCCAACGACCCGCACGTGTCGAAGAGATGTACGAAAGAATAGCGACATTGAGAAGTCTTCCCTTCGGTTACTGAACTGCAGTTCCCAGGCAGAGTTGAGCTTTTGAAACGACACTGTCGTGCCTGTTTCACAATGTCTGTATTAAGCCATATAATCAGAAATATTGAAAAAAAAAATTAACAGTCATCGATTATCATATGAAAACAGATTGCCAGTATGTACATGAGTCAAAAATCATTCTGCAATAATAATAAGTTGCTTCATGATTTCCTCGAGAAAGTTGTTTATTACTTCTATGAGTTGTCGAGCCAACTTCGCGATAGGTCTTTGTCACTACCCAGTTTTATGCTTAGCAAAACAGTTTGAACAGAAACCAGCGGGAGCTATTGTCATACCTGCCGACGTATCCCGAATCGCAAAGACACCTGTATTGGTGTTGTTCCTCAGCATCGAGGAACGGATCGCACTTCGAATGCTCCGAACATCCATGCTTCTGACAGCCAACTAGGGCAGTCGAACAGTTTTTGTCACCAAAGCCGCGCTCACAAGAACAACTATAGTCGCCAACCAAGTCCTGACAACTACCATGGACGCAAGGAATAAGACGCTCACATTCGTCGATCTCTAACTCGCAGAATTCACCTTCGAAGCCCCTATGACACTTACACCTGATACCGTAAAATAGAAATGCTGAAATGCACAATAGTGGCTTTGGTGCATATAAGTTTAAAAAGATTGTTGTTCCTTCTATGTTCACAGCCATTTTCTATTCTATTGATCGACTGAATTACCCACCTATACCCGTTGATCTCATCGATACAGCTTCCGTTTCGACACTGGTGATCAACGCAGTCATCTGAAACGTGCCAAATCCATCAACAAGATATAGGCATTAGCATAGAGCTCAATTAGCTGGATGAACAATACGTACGTTGATTTAGACCGTCTGTTTGCTAATGCCTGCCTCTAAGGTGAGTCGTGACGATAGCCATAGAAAGTTCGGTAAGTTTTCTAATGGCGTGTGTTGTTACCCAGTTCACTCGGGAACAATTTCCACTTACCAATATTAGTTTCGCAATGAACTCCGGTAAAACCATTGGGACAAACACAAATATAGCCAGCGGCGTCGCTCTCATTGTATAGAGGAAATAGACTGAGGTAGTTATACGCGTAGAGAGTCCGATTGGATCGTTCTAAACAGGTGGCGCCATCGAAGCACGGATTTAGTTCGCATTCTGGTACGTCCACCTAGACAAAAATTAGTAACACATCACGCATATATTTTATACAGTTAAATAAGGTCTGAATCAACGTTACTCACCATCTCCCACTGCATCGTTTACAATTCTGTTGCTCCTGTGTCTTCGTCGTAAATAACCATTTTACCTATAGATGTATTGTCCGTTTCAGAGGGCTCAGACGAAACATACCTCACATGTTTTTCCAACGAAGCCGGGATTACAATGACAGGTGAACTCATTGATTCCATCTTCGCACATACCGCCATTTTCGCAAGGCATTTCGACGCAGTCGTCAATATTTGTTTCACAACGGTTCCCTTTGAAGCCGGTGTCTGCGCAGTCACAACGAAAGTCGTTCACGAGATCGATACAACGGCCATGTTCACAGGGCTGATCCGCGCACTCGTCAATGTCGGTCTCGCAGTTCTGACCTGTGTAACCCGGAACGCATGAGCACATGTAGTGCCCCACGCTGCCAAACATTACAATACAATAAAGCACTTTCATTTGACTATCAGAAATCATCGAGGACTTCAGGTGTTGAGGTGCAATGGTTGTGTTTTTATCACCGTACCGTACACACTTGTTAGCTGTTCATGTTCTAGCTAGCGTTCTGTTTAGTACAGCTTTATGTCGAATCATGTTCTACCTACCCCAAAAGTAACTAATTGGCCTTACCGATCATTACACAGAGCACCATTCTTACAGGGCTGTAAGGCGCATTCGTCTATATCAATTTGGCACAAGCGGCCTGTGAAACCAGGCGCACAGAAACACTCGAACCTAATGAGAAAGCAAATTCAGGAAATAGGGTCCAGGTTAGCATCACCAATGGAATACACACATAGATGTTTGCGCACGGTCGAAAGTAGAAGACGACGACTGTGACTATTGAACTTCAACGATAACAAACATCTAGGAAGTCGTTTTGCACCAACAATACATTGATTCCGCATGAAGTGCACATACAGCTTTTTTTTTGTGTATAAGTAATTATAGAAAGTACTCACCTATTGATCATATCGTTACATGTAGCCCCATTCTGACAAGGGGATGAAAGGCATTCGTCGAAGTTCACTTCACAGTGTTCCCCCGCAAAACCCGGCAAACAGAAGCATTGATACGAGTCATTACGATCCTGACACAATGCTCCATTCAAACATAACGTAGGATTGCATTTGGAAACAATCTGAAATGAAAGCTAGAGTTAATATGGTGAACTTTTTTTTTTTAATACGAGACAGATGATAGCGTTTGTGAACCTAAGCAAATTATTATTATCGAATAGGACAAATAACATAAACGACGTTTTCGAATGTAATTGGTACGCTAAGTAAACATTTCTACAATATATATAACTATGAAAACACATTTACAGCGGATCTGACTATCAAACAGTTAATGTCCGCTGCTGACAATGACAAATCGACTAAATACAACCTCGGTGCAATTCTCTCCGGCCCGTCCCTGTGGGCAGTGACAAATATGTCTGCCTAGTCGGTTGATACAGGTCGCGCCCTCGAAACAAGGGTTAGGTTCGCAGCCGTTAAGTTCCATATCGCACGCATCTCCATCCCATCCCTCAGGACATCTGCACTCGTAACCGTTGAGTAAATCATGGCACGTTTGCTTGCCGGGACATTTCACTCCCGCACAGTCGTTAGTATTTAGCTCGCACATCTTCCCGGCGTAACCCTGTGAGCAAAAGACAAGCCGACACCATATTTAGGTTATTATTTGCTCGAATAACGTCGACATTAGCGCTAATAATATTTGTAGGAAATCAGCCGATAGTTTCGATAAAGATTTGTGCAAGCTTACCCTGCAGCGCGTCATTCCGTCGTTAAGACGTACTTATAAAAAGTGCGTGTTAGCATACCTAGCGTAATTAGCGTAGCGATATTTTACGTAACATTTATTCTGTATGATATTTTATGTAATCCTATTCTGTATGTTTATGTGCTCGTTTTAAGCGCATGCAATTGCACGTGGTTTGCAACTACCTCCCAAACCGCTGTCACATTGATGTCAGTCTGTAGCACGTACCTGGGGGCATAAGCATACGAAATCATTGGGTCCTTTCGAGGTGCACTGGCCGTTGTTGTTACAAGGTGCCTCATCACAAGCGTCTACGACATGCTCGCATTCGACACCGTAAAATCCTAAGATAAATCATTATAGGTGAAAGTCACTTAGTACAGAGAACGCAACTTATATATATATATACATATATATAGATTATATTATCCGCAGCTATACGGATGGTAGGTTAAAGAATACATATATTTAAGCAACATGATCGATTTGACAAAGGACAGCTATACGAGAACGAAAGCTTCTTCGGAGCATCCGTGTTTTGCAAAACTTATATATGCCGTTATCCGGCAGGTACTTACCGTCAGGGCAATGGCACGCTCCATCATCCCCGCAGCTAGCTCCGTTCTGACATCTACATGCTACAAGAGAAGTGCGGGCGAGATCGCAGTGTTCCCCCGCAAATCCTGCGTCACATTCGCATATTGCATGCCCATCCTATGCATCGACGTTGCGACAATCATATAAAAGCCACATGTGTGTTTACAAATAAACTATTATGCTAGATTTTATAATAAACATTTAAAGACGCCTTCACTTAGATTTTTTTACTAGGATAATCGCTCACTAACCGTTAGCTTCCGCTCAATGAGCACTTCACTCTACTACTAAGTGCTCACCAAGCTATTATTGTTATTATTACTAAGCACTTACTAAGTACTGGTCCGGTAATAAAGGACATGGCACTGCATAACAAGCCATCGCGTACTCTTGTACATAGGAACAAGCAACATGTTATGTACTTTACCTAATTGTCATACAGCTTACCACATAAATATCATTTGAATTTTAGACAGACCTGTTCGATACATTTCCCGTTGGCGCCGCACTGGTGAAACGTGCACGGAGTCCCCCGAGGAACTAAAACAGGTAACATTGAAACATTGCAAGTTTTTCCCATAAAACCTGTAAACGTGCATGAGACGTTATTGCAATATATACCAGCAGCCTGTTTGGCTGCCTTTATATCGGTACATGCCTCATTAAAGGCAGCCAACCAGCCAGCCGGTTTCGTTTTGTACTGTGCCGTGATAACGAAAAAAAAACACCAAATGGATGCATTGTCCCGCTTTTGGTAGAAACGGAAAAACTATAGCTTTATACGCCAGCTGAGTACAACGTGTGAACCCATTCCCCCTATAATATCGCTTACGAAAAAACAGACACCAACCTGGTAAACACGAACAGATAAAATCGTTGACAAGATCTACACAATGCCCATGATTGAGACATGGGTGACCTTCGCAATTGTTTTCGTTGATTTCACAAAGTGGACCAGCAAAGCCTGGCACGCAGGTACAGTTTGTCGAGCCTAAATTAAACGATCACAATTTGCATAATCCCAATGTCAAAGAAGAAAATCGTTAACGATAGTTCGTTGCAGGGACATGATGATGATGTTTACCAGATAGCAACATAGGTAGCAGATCATACACGTTTTCAAAAGCCTATTTAATTATGTAAACCGTGGTGATAATGCTTAGTAGTGGTCCAAACCGTGTACACGTTAATAAGTTCTCATTAAACGTACCTCTGGCCGAACGAATTACTATTACTAGTATGGCAGAATGGTAAAAATCAACATAAACTAATAACGGTTCGCGAAAGTCATCAATAGGCAATATGACATCGCCATCCGTACAGGCGATTTATATTAAACTATGTACCTTGTATGCAACTCCCTCCATTGGCGCAAAGCGCATCATCACATCTTCCGCTATGTTTGCCACTGTCCTGGTCATATTCGCAGTGACGTCCGCCAAAGAGTCCTGGACAGAGGCACGTATACGCAAACCCGTTGCCCGAACAAGTCCCACCGTTCCAGCAGGGCGCATCTAGGCACGAGCGTGCAGGCAGGCACGATCCCTGATTGAGCACGTAACCGGGCTTGCAGTGACACCTGAAATGTTCATTTTGGCTTGTTATGTCTCTCCTCCTAAAAACTCTCCGAGATTGCAAAAAAAAAACACTATTTGCACTGCTATTATGAAACCAAGCAGGTATCATTATTTCAACTCTAATAACCGTTCTTCACTTGGCAGGTTTACAGACATACAATACGATCCATGAAAAAAGCTTACATTGTCTTATATCTGAGATCAAATAATGATATGTTAACCATATACTAGAAGCTAGGATAGGAATAGGGTATATTTTATAGGAGAGAAAAAAACGATCGATCTGATTGAGGCGTACTTTCCGCTTCGAGCATCGCATGCTGCGTGTGGATCGGCGCATTGTTTGTTGGCAGGCTTTCGTGAACAATCAGAAACCTCGCAGTTTTCTCCCGTAAATCCTGCGGTGCATTGACAGTAGTATCCGGATATTGTCGCACTGTAGATTGGTAAACATAGATTAGTAATAACGATACCAATATCATCATAATGCTAATGGGTAATCTGATTACTTTAAACTCTCCATTATTATCGCTACTATTTTATTTTAGATTTGTTTCTTTGCTACGCGGTCTACGTCATAATGTTCGATACCTTTACTGTTTCGTAACATACTTTCTCCGATCTCACGATTTGGTTTCACGCAAAGAATAGAGGGCTACACGACAACTATACAGAAATACAAAAAACCCCTCTCAAATTTTTAATGAATCCCCCCCCCCCTCTCTCTCTCTCTCTCTTCTTTCGGCTAAAATGAACGCATAACAGCTTAATTGTCTACGTTCGCATTACGGACATGCATTATCACTGGATACTTAGGAGACATAACTTGAATCTATGTATCATTAAACTGTCACAACTATATCAAGTTCTGTCGCCTCAAACCGCTTTAGCATTGAAAAAATATATTTGTGACTTTTAGTTACAAAAATCCGGAATTTGTTATGCCGTGAAAAAACAATAGGAATATACTGGAAAGCTTGAATATGGTTTTACTAATCGTTGTAGACATTAAGGACTATTGCGCGATGCTTATAAGATCCTGCGAATTTTTATTGGCGCAGTCGTACGCGTGTTGATTCCCGAAACCTCATCGAGTCAGGGAAATTGGATAGAGTTCTGCAAAGTCAATTCGACCTATGTGCTTGAAATCACATTATATTGTACCAACTTGCGTCAGTGTTAGAACAGAACAAAGTATGCCCTATACGTCAATGGCGATCGTATAGAGCGTTCATCTTTTAAAAATAATCAAGTCCCCAATCATCAACCCCATCCAAAGAGCAGTAGGGCAGCTGAGGCGCTGGTCAACAGGAGGGAGTAATCGAACAAAACTAGAAAGCTTAATGCTGTGAACTAGAGAGCTTATTGTTCGGTCCATGCCGCTTCTATCCTATTACTCGGTCGATTTCAAACGATGATGCTCCGATCACTGTTCAGTGCTGATAGAACTGTCTAGTTCCCTCCATTTTTTTTTCTTTTGCTTTTGCTTGGTGCTTCTTACCAAGTCTTCGCCGTCGTGGTCTTCTATCTCGTCCCATACGTTTTTTTCTTACTTATCAGTTGTTTGTGGCCGGCCACGAATCATTTGCCAGCGGTCCGACATGCGTAGCGTGCATTGTCTTTCGTATCCTTTATCACCCCTGTGGCCCAAACGGCTATCTGATTGTATAGTAATGGCGGCTGTAGTCCGAATGTGTGAAGATCGACCAACCACCATAATCAGGGTCAGGTATTCCCTGTCCTATCGATCAGGTTTATTTAGACTAGATCGAGCGTCCTATGCATTCATTGGGCGTATAGCGTGTAGATCTGCTGGCTATAAATGTTTGCGCCCGTTCTATTTGGCCACGGACAAATATCTGGACGTGGACACAACAGATACGTGCGGATAAGGTCACACAAAAGCAAATTCACGTTTTGCTTTAAATTTTTCCCCTTGTGTTTTATAGTCTTAAGAGGCCAACAGCAATATATCGTCATGATACTACCGCTGCTGGCGTAAAAAGTCGGCCCTGCAGCTTCGTCCGCATATGCCGATCAAAGCATTTCAGTCGGGAATCAAATTGGCTGGCCAGAACATAGAAACATGATCGCATGGTCATGATGACAGTTAAGGGACTACTCAGGTGCAATACTTAAAACGAAATGATGGCGCTGGCGACGCCAAAAGAAGGTATCGTTCATCTAAAAAGCAGTTGTTCAAAACAGAAAGGCAGCGACACCTGGTGTGATGGGTTAGCTATACCATACGACGAAGAGTGGACGTTGTCGCGGATACTCGTTTCCATATTGCGCACTTCCGTGTTATTGGTCATGATCACCTCAACGAAGATCGTCCAATGCATGAAGCGATTGCATTGTCGGCAAGAAAAATAAAGCGAAGATAAATGATTCGTATAATTATATAACAAAATACCAATAGCGATCTGCTTGAGCTACGTCGTTTAAATTATAGGCATAGTAAATTACCAGCGCGAAATTCACCCAAAGGCCGTTCATTTTTGGCCGCCGACAGGCAAAAACGCGTTACTATAAGAAAAAATGATTGGTAGAAGTTTATTCATTTATTCGTAGTGAGCATCAGTCCATAATTTTTAACTTTCTTCGATATTCTTACTTTGCCTTTCACTTCTATAATCTGAAGGTACCAGTTTTTGCTCAATACGATTACTAAATCGATACGTATTGCATTACGTAACGCTTTGTAGCGATTAGTAAAGACGGTAGCGGAACGTACGTAAGCGCTGAAACGAACGCGCAAAAACAATGATGGAAAGACGCTTAATTCCACTATCTATGTGGAAGTCAGGGTGTACGAAGGAATAGATTTCGTCGCAGGGAATCGAGTTACTCTATGTTAAACTGTGCAACAGAGATCATAATATGGCTACGGTAGAAGGTTTATGCACACCACCTTATTTCGACTTGGTTTGCACATCTGTCAGATGACGTTAGCTCTGTCCGACCATGAGCGCTTCCGGAACAAATCCATACCCATTTACGCCGTTTTTTTTAGTTATGAAGAATTAAAGTGCAGGTAATTTAACTAAGACCATTAAGGCCTTTAACGATGTTCTAGGTCCATACCGACGGATTATAGGAGAGCGACACTCAATGCCTCTACTTCATTCAGACAAGCACGCAGACACGCGCACAGACAGAGCTTACTGCCACTGCAGCAGTTGCCTCAATCCTCTCGTCTTCCCCTTTTTGTCGTGGACTGACGTCTTTTGGTGACCTATCGAAAGCACCGAAGCATTTACCATACAAAATACTTTTCGCTGCGTCGTCATTGCTATTACAGTCAGTCACTTGATCACACAGACGCACACTGACAAATACGCTAGCGACTTGGAACGCTCTATGGCCTACTTATGGGCTGGTGTTCGTACCGGGATAGCGCTTGTAAACAGGGGAAGAGCTGCCAGATTGCAAACGCCGACAACTGCCAACGAATTCGAACGCCGTCCCGCTGCTGTCTACTAGCGCTTAAAATAAAATGAGCTTTTTGTTGTCGTCAGTCGTTCATCAAGTCGACGGCAGGCGGGTGGGCGTACGAATGGGACGAGAAATGCGGGAAGGGCGAAGGGGAGATAATAAATCTATACGATAATAATAATAGTTCCTAGGCGCCCTCTTTGCATAGTCTTTGTGACTGAGTAAAACGCGTCACAGTTAACACTTCGAAACGCAAGAACACATACATAGACGTATACGCTCACGAATCGCACGACCGCATCATAAATAATGAAAGCACATAAACAAAGGCGAGAGAAAAAAGGGGCGTGGGCAAAAGCAGCACGAAGTCCCTAAGCACGGACGGACTGTGGCCGTCACGGCACGCAAGAAAGGATACTGCCGTAATATGGACTGACACGTACGCAATGACAGTTTTAAGCGTAGTAGTCAACAACCGTATTTCCATTCATCCAGGTAATAAAAAAGTCTCCATGCTAAGGCGGCAAATCTTAACTGAGCATATGGATCGTTGTCGTCATTATGTTTGTGGCTTGCGTATTGACAAAACCTCGCGAGAACACCACCCCGCTTGCCCGTTCAGCGTGCGGCCACTTAACCGGTAGCTGTTGTACATCCATAGCGTCTGCCTGACCGCCCAGCTGAACGATCAGTCCGGCAGCGAGCTAGATAGCTGACTAGCAGAGCGACGCATCAGCTGTCCTGTAAGTAACTGAACTACAACAGAATTTTATAGGAAGATATACTAAGAAAGGCTGGACTGCCAAACGAAGCCATAGACATAGACTGTCTGATAGCTTTCCACTAAAAGCGAGGACTGTGCATGCCTTTTGTAGCTGTTTCGCAGCTATCTCAATTGCCCTCCTTAATGTGACGCGTCCAACGTGCGCCGCAAGCTAATAATAAGTCTCAAACTTGCGGCATTCGGGTTAGCGTTCACTGGCGTTAGGGCTGCTGAAGTGGAAGTTGTCGCCGAAATGGCAACAAGGAATCGGTTAGTTCGACCTTCGAACTTTCCGGCCGCTCGGCAAATCGTTTATACCCACTTCCCCACCTTGTCGCACGATAGTATCCTGACGATAAAATGTTGACGCAGTACAAGACGTCGTCTATGTGAACGTAGTCGATGTCCATTGTAACTTGAACTGATCGACCGGTTCCTGTTTATCGTTGGCGAAACTTAGCTAGCCTTAGATGACAGAATGGGATAGTTCTACGTTAACTTGAGCTAGGCCTTCCCGCTTCAACTAACTATTTAGCATTAGCAGACCATTTTGTTAGAAACCCGTGAGGAAAAATCATGGAACTGGCTGAACAAAGAAGCTCGACACAGAAACTTGTTAAATTACCCAATACGCAATTGGGCGAGTTCCGGTCTACTGGAGACTAGATCACACCAGGATTTCAATAATCCCATTGCAGATTACCAAGCTGACTTCATATTCGCTCGAAGAGCGCACCATTTTACAAATTTATCATAAGACCCAATTACTAATAAGGTCGGGAGTTACAATTTCTTTGTTTTATCCCGTTCAGATAGTCGTTTTCGTAGACAACAAAATATTCCAAACAAACAATTGACGATCGCTTTACCCTAAAACGACGGATGGAAGGTATGGATGATGAAGGATGAAAGTAAAATAGACATTACAACATGAATTTTTTTTACTACCGCTGTCTGTAAAAAAAAAAGTGTGTCCGGATCCTATAATATGTATAAGTGTGTATCTCTGCGAAAGCTAAGGCCAGGGCTTTTAACGAGAAACGTTACGAACAACCCAACCCCTATCCTAACCCATACATGGGTACGGACAGAATGAGTAATCTCCGCTTATTTTTAAGTTGAAATGACGATGCTTCCATAACTTTAAGAGACGGACATTTAGCTCCTGAGCGTCCCTGCTGCTGTTAAATTTAACAGCCGGGATAAATTTCAATATGACAAATGCAAGCGGTAGATGCTCATTTTATCAATTCACAACCACTAGAATAGAATATCGAAGTCTTTCGTCAATGTAACGCAAAAAAATCAGCCGGGGACGAGTGGAATTACTTGGCACGACGTACGGGAATCACCTCGCGTTTGGCTACAAGGAACAATAATCGATCAATGATAAGCCACTCCCGCGAAAAATTCAAATACGAAATTATTGATGCAGCATGAGTGCTTTTACAGATCGCAGAGACATAGACAAATGTCTCAGTCAGTTAACGCCCAGTGACCAGATGTACGTGTCTCAGCTATTACATGTAAGTTCCACGCCTTCATTAAATAGCGCATGCGCTAATCGCACGATATTCGGACACTGGTCTCTCCCAAACATGTATCGCGTCAAGGGTGCAACCATGAAGAAGCACTCTGGGATATGTCTCACTAAAATTTTATATTCACTACAGGTAATTGTGCATCGTGATAGTGGCTGTTTTTTTTTTCAACAGCATCCAGTTTGAGTTTTGATGTGAACGCTGATTAAAGAAAAAAAAAATTGACTAAATTGATTGTCCGAAAGATATAGAACAATGATACCAAATAGCAGATCATAATATAGAGCACACTTTTGTTTTCAAATATAGATGCCCGTTCTGGTGTACGTTTAGCTTTCGCAAACGACCAGAGAAGCTGAAACTGTTCGTAGCGATCTCCTCTGCCACGGAGCTTTTCCCCGACACAAACAAAAACATCGGAAAATGCTAAGGTGGATATATCACTAAAAAACACAAGGTGCCTGACGGTAGCTCGATGTTAAATTTTTTAACTGAAATAAATTACATACTACTAAACTATTATGCATACGCAGTCACTAGGTGCAGGCAACACGAGAAGGGGCGCTGAGTGCGGATGGAAGTTTTGGAATTAGTGGAACTTAGTACTTGATTCGAAACTACAGCCTGAATCAGGAAGAATCGCTGCAGGCCTCTATTTTCTGAACTAGCTAACCAGGGTCGTGGACGTTTTCTTTTCTTTGAATAATTCTTCATATTCTGGTAGAAAAGATAACTTTACGGAAACGCGCCAAGGTTAGTTCTACTCCGACCAGATCAATTATTCTTTGGAACTTTCCGCCCATAAAATCAGACTGAAGCCTAAAATCTCAAAACGTTTTCACGAATGATTCGATCGCACACCGGTAATGATTCTGAAAAATAAGGCCATCTCTGTCATAATCATGTCGTCATTTCCGTCCGACAGGACGATCTAGGGAGCCAATGTTTACTTGTCATTCGTTCCGGCCATTCACGTGTATCAACATATTTTCATAATGCTTCGCTTGTATGGCTCAATCCGCTTGCTTCGGTCGTCGGGCGTATCTTCATTCCGTAACGTTTTTATCTCGCTACTACCGCTCCTATCGCTTCTATCGGACACCATCACAAAGCTACAGTGCCGAAGTCGCATAGAATAGGTCTCGCTGGTTTCTTGAAGATCGCAAGACGCATTCTCAGCCTTAAAGTTCGAAAACAATACATTCTACCAAAGTGAACGCCTTTAACGCTGGTTAGGTGCAAAATGCTTCGTCTAAAACACGTTGCGTAATTTTCAGACACTAACGAACTTCTTTTTACTTCGCCAACTGTCAATCAGATTAGTGAATATAGTGAAACAGGCTATACTCTTGTCCATTACGTAATCTTCATTTAGCTGTACAAAGGTACAGGGCTAAAAATCAAGACACATCTCCAAAGATCATTTTTTTTTTTTTATCAGTGACAATAGTTAGTTGTTTATGCCTTCGGTAATTTCTTTTCATAATACCAAGTGACAAATAAAAAGAAACAGTTCTAGATTAAAGAAGAAACCTGGTAAATTTTTATACAATGTGCAAAAAGAAGGCAGCTTATTTGCAGTACAGATTATGATAAATACAGTGATCTTGACTATTAGTACGCAATTCATATATAGATCGAGTGATAGATAGAGTGATTTTAGCGTTAATAGCTACTAACGGTTTGTAATCCATCTGTAATGAAAACGATAAGGCTCTAGTCAAATGCAACTCAGGCTGCGTCAGCTCGGATTCATAGCATTGCAGAGAAATCATTCTCGGACGGTAGAAACACTGAATATAACGAAAGTCCACGATAAGTCTTAAGTATAATGACGTTCAACTTACGTGCAGGTTCCACCGTGGTGACAGGGCCCTCCGGCGCACCGATCCACGGCCCGCTCGCATTGGTTTCCCTCGAACCCCTTGTCGCACACACACTGCAAATGGGCATCTGATCGTTACACGAAGAACTACAAGCCAGAGTTACTATTATGGATATCAATAAGTGGCAGATAGGAGACAGACGGTCTGTTCTAGCAGTCAGCATAATAGCCGGTTTCATTTCGACACCTCGTCGACTTCACGCAAGCTGCCAGCACTTACGGGCTCTTTGCCTTCGCAATATAGCCGTCTTTTAGAAGTGGCGACGATATGTATAGCGAAGATGCCGACTAGTGGGTATGACGAGGGCGAAGGCTATACCGCCAGATAGATATGTATGACTGACAATGATTCTATTTTTTTTAACTGACAGACGATGGTGGTGGCTTTTTTACAGTTCCTGTCGATGACGATGCGATTCTCTCTCTACTTGTCCTACAGTCCTCGCGACACGGGAACTGTAGACATGACTACGGATCAAGTTGATTACATACATCTAACATAACCCTGTAGTACGTGCAGTCGTACAATGCCCATGTAAGCTGTTTTCGCATAGAGACTCAGGTCAATTTCGCAACATACACCGCAGAACGAGAAAGCGTACAGAAAGCATCAATATCAGCGCGTATGAGATCGTGCAAAGATGGAATAATACAAGTAACAAATACGAAATATTCGTGGTTGTGCGCGTTAACTTAAAGTAAATTTGATAAAATTCGAAACACTGCGTTTGCGTTTATTGCGAATCATCTAATCCTTTCCAGGTGTTTGTTAAAAGAACATACATAAATTAGCCGCTGGCTGTGTCAGTTAACTCGTTAACATTGCAAATCAAACAATACGCACGTATTTTTCAGTACTTGCCAAGATTACGTCTCGTGAACGGTGTCCATTCCGTAGTCGTCGATAATAACTAGCTGTCGATAGCTCGTTATTATCTCTCTCTCTCTCTCTCTCTCTCTCTTTGATAATGGTCTTTCACTTTTGGGCTCAGCACCAATTAACAGGTCTCGCCGTAACGAGACGAAACACACAGAGCGTTGAACACTTATGCGTAACATAGTCAATTAAACTTGTCATACTTTATTCTGTTTCCTAGTCTTTCTAGTTTATGCATTTTTCATTATAGCTATGTAATGCGTCGAATTACTCAATAAATGACCAGTAAAAACATTCAGTCATAGGAAACACCTGCCTGAAATCCTCCGTAACGGTCAAAACAACGGCCCCTTCCGTTACACGGTGAATAGTCCTCTATGCACTCGTTCCTATTAATTTCGCAATTAGGACCGCGGAATCCTGCAACGTTTCACACAATTGTGTTAGTCGCGTTTTTATTTATTTTTTTTTTTTTACGAACTACCTGAAAAGCCATTATTACATAGCCAAAGAATAACCATATCCATAACCAAAGGCTTAAAGCATACACTGTAGGAAGTATGCGTTGTATTATACCACGGTACATTATAGAAATGTAAGTTAAAGAACATTTCTTGTTCAACAATGGCACCACGTCAGCCAAATTACAAAATTGTTTACAAAATCACGAGAGAAGCTACATTAGCTTTTTTCAAGCTGGCTAAATGTGAGGCGCATCATAGGGCTATACATTAACGTATAGCTGATAGTAGTGCTATTCTGTCGTACTTCACCAATAAGGGACTTGCAGTAACAACGTGTGATGCTTGTGGATCATAGGATGTAGATAGTACGAAATCGTGTCCTGCTGCTAATGGCCTTCTTCAGTATTTGATAAAGTATGTAACTCGAAGCTCATGGGCTGATGGACGTTTGAAATCCCACGTTTACACAATGTAAGACTCTGGACAGTATGAGCTACATAGTCTTTATTTAGTCACAGAACAAACTTGACTAGTATTGAAGAAATGCGTCCCACGAGTAAATAAACCCATTCCTCTAAGCGCAACAAGCAGAAACACTTCCTCTATGCTGTAAAACACCGCACCATATCTACTCAGTGACTGAGTAGTTGCTGAAGACCACTATTCAAACTTGCGACAATAATAATTTCGACTCAACGGAAACCGCTCAAAGATCTATTGCCATTATTCTATGTGAGTAAGGCGAGGTGTCTGCAGTCCAACATAATCTACGTGAAAAAACAAGCCAAGCTTCTTTGTCTAGGATTATCGAAGGCGAGTACCGAAAGGGAAGAAATGTATCGAAGACAAGCACTCAATCTTCTAAATAGGAAACGTTTGACGAATAATGATAACAGAAACTGCTTTCGGTTTATCGAAAAATGCGCTTCGGCATTTTTCGAGGTGCGAAGCTGCATCTTTTACCGCACACCCGTACGGTTATTCTTGACGATGGCACCAACCGTACTTGATAACCGCATGCTGTCGCCGGGCCCGACAAGAGACCACAATGCAGTTACTTTAAACAACTGTAGGTGCCACATGAAAGTAGCTACGATGTCGCGTTTCTAATCAGCATCTGTACGAGCATCTACCTAAAAGTATGGACGGGCGTTGGTGTTGCGCACGATACGAAGGTGGTCAGGCTCTAAAGTGCCTTCACCAAGTTTATGCAACTACAATACCATGTATTTTGAAACATACATAAATGCTCTCCCTTTCAACATAGCATTACATTAGGGAAAGAGAGCCATATTGGCACCTTTAAAAAACGGTGCCAGTATCTCAGTTGCGTCCATTTATCTGCATATTCGGATATATGTCATTTACATAGCAACACAACGTTATTTGCTTGTTAGTACAAGTCAAATAAACGTGTCGGTGAAAGACTGAACCTCTATGCGAATTAATCGGAGGCTCAACTTACCCGAACTGACAACGATCCTAGCCAATATATCAACAGTGCGCTCATTCTACTACAGCCCAACCCACTAAACTTTACCGATCCCATATAAAGAACAAAGCAGTAGTACCAATCTTATTTCGATTATCTTTATCGGTAGAAGATCAGTATTGAGAACTGGTACTTTCTGACCTTTTAGACAGTGGCATGTGTAACCCAGGGGAGCATCGACACATGAACCGTTATTTCGGCAAGGAGCGCTACCGCAGTTATTGACTTTTGTCTCGCAGTTCTTTCCAGTGAAGCCTGAAACAGAACGAAGGCAGAATTGGTTAATACACTCGCTTTTTCAGTTGCATTTCTTTGAGCAATTTGAAGAATAATACGCTAACGCTGCTCAGTGTTACGTACAGGTGAATTCTCAAAATTTACCAATTATGAGTCAACGTGACTTCAACTAGATCAAGATGTGACATTCTACCCCTCACAGACGATACCCCGTGTTTCAGCTGATTTCATGTTTCGCTTGCTCTGGAAGAGCAATATGTACTTTGGTCCACCTTGACTAATCAGCCGCAACCTCGCTTTCACGCCGTAATTTCCTTCTTGTGGTCCTCCCATAAAGCTCGATTGTATCATCCGACTCAATGTAACCCTCATCATCTATGCGCATATCTAGTTTTTAACTCACCCCACCATCCGAGGTGATCGATACGACTGGCAGCAATGCGGAATCGCTTAGCGAGACCAAACCTCACAGCCGCGATGTCTCGTTTTATCTTTTCTAGTAATAATAATGGTAATAATAATTCAACAACAATAACGGACTTCGTTGACTGAGACGGTGAGTTAGGAGACGACGACGACGACGACTCCTACAAAAGGCCGCAACAATAGTAGTAGAACGACAACATGGAATTGCCCCTCGCAGGAACGTTGCAGCAGTGTTGTGTTTATGTAATGTCTTTCTATTATTTCGTCCCAGAATGCCAAACTGACAGCCCCAGACGGATTTGTCTGAGACGCAAATAAGTCAAAAAAGGCTAAATGAGCCCACGGCTACCATGACTTCAGGACACACGTACACTACAACAACTCGGCAATTACTACCCTGAGAGGTTATGTCTAAAATCGCCCCGGTGATTATCTTCACTTCAGTCCGTTATATTATTTCGTACATATAACTTTCTTCTTTCCGAAAATCATACATATTATAGTAGACTGGTAGGTTTTCTTCTACAGTGCTATTCGACGACGTACTAAATTATCTTTATCTGCTTGCCAGTGCACTAAACCCTTTCATTATATTTTATAGGCAAATCGGACTTCAATTGGAGCTGGAGTATACCGCGAGTTAACTTGCGTGTAATGACGCGGAATGAGAATTCGACTGCGCCCATCGAAACTCCGACATGCACCTCAGAACAGGCAATCACCTCCTAACTAATAGTGGCTGGGGGCAACATCAATGGGAAGCTAATACGTAGCAGTCAGGCTTACTAACGCTGTGCGTGACGGTGCCCGAGTCAGGTCCGTCTTTGTGCGTGCGTGCGTGCGTGCGTGCGTGTCTATACGTTGCTTTTGACAGAAGCTGGGAGAAAGGAACTATTCACCAAAGCGCCGCCTGCAGTCCTGCACAAGGATTGCAATCCCCGAACAAACCACTCTTCGGCGTCCGTCAAGACATACACACACATACGACGCCAATGCGAAACAGAGTCAGACCGATACACACAGACATACATATACGCAAGCAAATACATAAAATTACTAGGTTGGTCAATTGGTGGCGTCTTCTTGTCGCCATCTCTCTCCTTTTCCTTATTTGACTTCTGTTTAATATTATACAGAAAGGGTTTTATCCATGTCACTTCGACTCAGACGCAGGCTAGTAGCCAAGCGAATGTAGTAGTGCAAGTTGAAAACAAACAAAATCCTCTCACTGTCAAATAATCACGAATTTCATTGCAATAAAATAATCTACTTAATAATTTACTTATTAAATAAATTCGCCGGAACAGGTCTGACGTTGAATTTCGAATCATTCAGTGGCGGCTTCATTAAAAAGGTAGTTAGTGGCTTTATCACTGGCAATTTTGCCTCGGTCACGCGTTCACTGCCCACTCCATAACCATATCACTGTATAACCTATTAGATCTAGAATTCCATTACGCCGATCACTTTCATCTTCTCTGTTTTTCGCTCCTTTTTCCTTTTCTTTTTCCGAATGACATCAATTTAATTGAAACGGCAATCCGTGAAGCTCCCGAATTCACCTACTGCGCAGTGAACAAGGCTGATGGACGCCCGAAAGGACTCAACATGACATTGGTGACGAAGACCGGTCGCGAAAGGGTGTTACCGAGTTTAGTAGTATGCACGACTGTATGCGACTACATTATTAGAACCTTCATCGACGAGAGACGTTATGTCACCTGTCTCCTAAACAATATTTCTAAATCGTTCTTAGATACCCGTTTCAAACAAATGCGTTTGAAGCTTGTATGGGTCAACGCACGGCAGAATTCGAGTTACCACAGATATCATCTGGTTCATCATTACTGGCGTTGACGCTCGAGCAAACCGAAACTATCAGTTTTTTGTGTTTACTACCGGCGGAATTTCACCGGAAGGCTGCTTAACGACCACGTTAAGCAGCCTTCCGGTGAAATTGCTACGCATTATACTCCGTTGATACACCGCCAAACCGTTTGACACTTGCAGCTTTGTCGATCAGCAGCAGTATCTCTATATTTTATCTGGCTTATATGATATCAGCGACAAGGGCAGTGCTAGCTGTGTTTGTTATTAGACGGACCGCCATGTAAGGCTGCCGAGGAAGCCATTAAATAGTTACGGCAAAAATTACTATTCATCTGCGGTGTCTGGCGCTTATTGTGGTCCTGTGATAATTCTCTCGGTAGCGTAAAGAACGAAAACAATCACGAAAGCCTAAAATTTTGATTGGATTAAATACGCTTATGAGATTCGATTATACCCAGTGCATGGTACCATGAAGTACCACCATTAGCTGTTCTCGTGATCAAAATCGACTACCCAATAGCTGGATTGCATAAGAGATATATGTGCTCACCAGCACAGTCGAGATGCCGACATCAGGAAGATATCAGACAACATAGATATCCTTTTCCTCGTGTAGAGGTGGTTTGGTCCGGTGAGTGTTATAGTCGTATGTTATTAAATCACTATTACCAATACTATGCATATTATGCATTAAAACTATACACAGGCTGTGTGCCGGAACGCCGCTCCGTTTCGATAATTTCCTTATTCGTACCCCGAACTGGTAGTTGTATAACCGTTTCACGAAAAACGCCAACTTCGTATCAGATTATAGCTCCCTTTGTTTGTTTACCGTACTAAGAAATCAGTCCTTACAGAGGAAACGCAAACATATAACACGCCGTATGATGATAACTGCCTCAACAGGACACGAAATGAAACTTCACAGGGATCAAGGTGTTTATGATAGAAACGATCGAATCCCTACATCTGGTTCAAAGCTATTTGACTCAAGCGTCGTCGTCTTTTTTTGACAAGAGAAGAATACGGTGTTAAAAACGAGAAGAAGTGAAAGTTACCTGGTTGACAGGTGCATTCGTAACTTTCGTTATCTTCCGAAGCATGGCAACGTCCTCCGTTGGCGCATGGTGCACTGGCACAATGACGGGACGGGCCTGCCGGTTTTTCGCATCTGAAATATATCGAAACAGGGTCTAGTCTAGCCTGTGTGGTACCTTCGTTTTTCTTACTTTACAATCTAAAATTAGGCCTCATTTGTTCTATACTGGACCTCAGAGTTCATATCGGCCAGACACAGACTCTGCTCTTAGTATTATAAAATTTTAAAATGCTGTTTATGGCACGCCATGTTCGTAATAAACAGCCCGTACGATACATGCAGTTTGCGTGCACAATAGATGCCTATAGGTGTGATATGTCACATTGAAACAATAATCCGACCCGGCCTTTCAGCCATCGAGTGCTCATTTGATCATATAGCAATGGTTAGTCGAATCTACCTTTTGCCATAGAAGCCAGCTTTGCACGAGCAATACATAATATCTCCGTCGGAACTCTCTTGACATGTGCCGTGGTTTAGGCAGAATTCAGGCCTGCATTGTAATCCTTGATCGACCTCGCAACGGGCCCCAGTGTACCTGTTAAATGAATGACAATGTTGCCTTAATGCTTCAGTAAATACAATACGTCTGATCCTATGCCCCTCTCCCACTCAGTGACACTAATATATTATGGCTTGCGGGGTTCGCGGTTAGTCTGACAGATATTTCAGCATATTACGTACCCCCTAGACGTGAATACAAGGTCGTATAAGACTGTACTTACCGCCTGGGACAGAGACATTTGGCTTCATCGCCAGCTGCTCTGCAGGTGCCTCCGTTTTCGCAGATAAATGAAAAGCACGGTTCGATGCCATACCCCACTGTAATGTAAAACAGAATCTTTTTTTTTTTTTTTTTCATTTGCATAGGTTGTATTGTAGGCGGAAAATATAGAATATACCATCTCATTGCTGCTTCCTCAACCTATCAAGTCTAATCTACTTAGGCAAAACCGCCAGGCAAATATTTGAGGTTAGGTTTACAGAGAGCAGACCGAGCCGCTATGCGTAGCGACAGTGAGTTTGACTTCTATTGACTTGCTAGCTGATTACCTAACTAGAGAGAGAAATTACACAAAACCACATGAGGAAGCTTCCAAATGTGCAAAATAGTACATCATTGAAGGAGTTACGTTTATAACGTATGGCCAATCATGAATGGACCTGCACAGTCTTGAAAATAATAATTGTCAAACAGCTTAGTTGATGATTAATAGAAAAGTTGAATTGGTATTAATTTGTCTTTGTTTTTACTTGGTCAGTTTGCGTTTGTGTGTGTACATGTGTCTATTATTAGAATGAGCATAACGTATAGTACACATCTACACAAAGACAAACACTTACATCGAGTGACTGTGTAAAGTTTCACCGTTTATCTACTTCAGACTTATCGGGCTTAGAAAGAAAAAAAAAAAAAAAAAAAAGACAATCTCCGAGTAACATTGCATCATCAGTGTTTATATTTATCCAGCTTTTTGGTTTTGTTTGTTCGCAATTATTTTAAGTATTCGCTGCGACCCCTCCTCCTTTCCTTTATTCTAGGAAATACCTGCCGCTAGACCGCTATTACGAAGAGATCTACCGTTATAACGGATAGCAGTGGTTCTTTTTTCATCAGCTGTTGCTGCCTTTGGTGCGTGATCTATTTCATTATATCGTTTCCAGAGGAGAACAAGGAACTATAACAACATCATGAAGGACAAAACTCGAGACGTTATTTTTTGTCGTCACGTATTTCTATCAGCATCATATATCATTATGTCGTATGTCACTAGGGAATTGTCTCTTGTTTTCTTCTTGCTACAAATTCTGCCCCACCATTGTTACTGTTACAACCGTAATTTCTCGTTGTTGAGATATATTTTACTATTTCTTCGAAGCAGATTATGATACCTTTTCTATTCTGCAATTTAAAAATGCCCGTTTTTTTTCTATGATCAATAAGATGGTCTTTCAGTCAGTTTCGGCTAAATTTAGTTGTTCTGTACTCCGCGAAAGCAATTTACATCATTACCAAGCTGAGGTAGTATATTTGCCAATCCGTATAGCACGAAAGAATAGACTTCACTTGAAGACGCATCCGTTGAGGCAAATCTTATTATTAGCTCAGTCTAAAAGACTCTGAGAAGGGAAAAACATGAAGGCGCAGAAGGGTCGGTTGGCGGGTAACGTAATTTCATTCATCTATCTTAAATAAATGCGAGCTAAATGATTTATATTTCCACTGATTCTCCAGTGAGTCACGTCTTCTAGGAACAAACGCAATCGATCGTAATTAACAAGCGGCAATTAGGATCTGTGCGGCATTCAGGAGCAGAGACTGAACCCGCTACGATACAAATCGTCTATGAGGAGAAATAAAAAGATGAATATATTGTAAAAGAAAATGAAAGCATGCCATGACCTTTCCGCGTACGAAGACGCATGATGAAGAATGAAGATTTATCATTGTTTACCCATTCATTCATTCATTCATTCATTCATTATCAGCTTTCATTAAACGCTTTTTGCCTGGCACTATCTCAGCGTGATGCTACTAAAAGCAAGTTGACTATATCGTATACTCAGCACCACCTGGGTTGTCACGATAACTCTGTCTGTCTGTTGGCGTACGACAGTCACTTTTAGTTTTAATAACGGTTATAACAACTGTAAGAATAACAAAGAAAAAAACAAAAAAACAGTCACCGCTATCGTGCGTCGTACGGTCACTGCTCGTGATTTATTTAATACCCTGCGCAAAGATTAGGGTGCTGCTCTGTGACGCAGAAAAAAAAAAAAAAAAAAAGCAAATTCAAGCAATATATACTGCGTTTATGTCGTATATGAATAGTTTTTATGTATAAATGTCGTGTTGCTAGCATTGATGAAGGGAGCAATATGCTACTGAACTAAGGATTCTTAAGTGATTTAAAAATTTTTTTCTTTTCTTCATGAGCTAGTTGATGCACCGTGTACTATCTGCAAGCACTACGCTCGCTATTTATAGTATCGTATGTACAAGCTGGATTTCTGTTCGCCATAGGTTAACTGCTTGTATACTGGCTACAAGATCGAGTTCCAATATAATTATAGTTCAAAATAATGACAGCGTCGTTTTTCGTGCACGGATAGCTCTATCTAGTACATATTTGCTCGTAGAGTGCTTTCGTAAGTTTACTTTTCAATACGTTATACATAAACAAACATTATAATTAATACTCGAGTAGTACCAGTCTATTGGGTGGTTCGAACACAATCTATGAAACGATGTTTCTTGATAGTAGTAAATCGTCGCGGCCACCGAAAACATAGGACGCATCCTAAAAAACGTGAACATCCTCGTTTCGCTCGTGAGAGCTCGTATAGGGAAAAAGCTGAATATTCGAGATGAGATAGACGGCACCGGCGATGCCTTCAAAAAAAAAAGCAGCAGCAGCAGCAGCAGCACCACCAATACGAACCGTGATGCGATCAGACATTCTTCTTTCATATCGGATTAAAAAAACACCATTGATTCGTCCCGTCACCTGGTGACCTCTCGTAATAAGTAGCAAATGACCCAAATACATACATCATTGTGATACAATGGATAGAGAGCGAACGAAAATACAAATGCAAAAATAAAAACTACGTAGTTATTCTTACGAAAATGCTTAGTTGTACTAAAGTGTAAGATCCATTTATGTTGATAGGTACCGTTAATGTTATATATTCCCTTACATTCTTCCAAAGCTCTATTTTTTCTGCTTAGCAACTTTAAATTGGAATGATCTATTGCTACTGCCACCGCCGCTGCTGCCTTTGCCAATAAACGAAGTCAGAGCTTCATCTGAACGTCAATTAGCGATTTACTGAAGAAATAGCGCTCAAACCGTTTAGCACTGCGTTCATTCTCGCTGCCCAGTCGCGGCTGCCGGTATTCCTGTATAAGTATACGTACGTATCTGTCATCTCGTAACTTTTGTGAAACTTGGTAATGTTTGACTTGACGATGTCGGTTGCAAGTCTGAAGGATACAAAACAGATCCAGGTACTATTATTCATCGGTATTTATTAGCACACGGACGCACGCGCGTTGGGCACTTGTTGTACGGTAGAGTCACCGTTCCCAATGGGCAGTGAAGTTGCAGCGTTGCATTATATTAATAGCGTTCGTCTAGACTTAACGATGCCGTCGCAGTCTTCAATGAAGCTATATGTTCACGGCTCAACTAATTAATTATTTACGTCTCTTGAGGACTTCAAAGATTGAAGTTTTCTTCCCATCGGCTTACGCGGTGAAATCACTGAGATGGACACAATTTCTTGATAACTTCTACTTCCTCCCTAATAGTGGCAGTGTCACTCCGTTTCAACGCTCAAACACCGGAAGAGTTCTCATTTTAAACTTCTAACTATCTTGTTTCATAGAACGGCTAACAAGACTAACCGCAACTGCTGGCCGTATCGGAATGTACATGTACGCTGTTCTTGCAGACCAGTGAAGACGCTTGTGGTAAGCTCTTCGTCTTTGCCACTGACATTACGTTAAATTCACCCACTTAGCTAGCTATACGTGCGGCTTTGAGACCGTGTCTGAGAATAGGCAGCCGACTGGCTTGTTTATGCTAACGGCAACGAAGTAGCTGAGGAAGAACGCGCACAGGCAGACAAGCAAGCAAGCAAGCAGACTTAGGGTAACACGATGCGAGCAGTAATCAGCAATAGGATAGCTTTGTCGTCCAGAAGATATGAAGCGACATAGTATCTGCCATCCAATATAACAGCAAGGCGTCATCCACCGAAGCAGTCAGTGACTCCATCCGCATGGTAGGCGCCTGCTGCTACAACGTCCGTCGCCGCTGCTGCTTATTCTTGCAGAATAAACAGGGGCAAATTAGGCCGCTGAATAAGCCAAGGAGACCCGCTGACCTATTGTCATCGGAACAGACACTCGTTTAGCTAACGTAGCAGCTCGTTAGCCAGTTTTTATGATCATTGTCATCGCCATCGTCATTACCATCAATTTAATTATCAAGCGAAGTTACTGATCACCAGCGAAGACATTTTGTCATTGGAAAAAAAGCAATGTTACCAATATATATATATATATATATATATATATATATATATATTGGGGTGTGCAGGGTGTTCTTAAAAAGAAAAGCATAATCCAACGAACTCATTTGCATATGCTAGAAGTAGTATCATTCCTGATAGCCATATTTATTCAATATAATCATTAATCATCGTCACTGCATCTTCAGTTCCAGATTTAAAATAAAATAGCACACGTATTTTCAAAAATTTTCCCTTTTTATTCGCATATAACCATTTAATAGTAGACGTACGTTATTGGGATAAGTAAATTCGTTGTCGTCTTGGTCTAGATGTACGCTAGATACGAGAGAATTTAGTGGAATTACATTTTGGGCTGGTAGCAGGACAGAATCCCAGAAGTGCAAGGGCTCAAAAAGGCCACTAGGCACGAAAGACCCAAAGGGCGTCAACAATACTAACCTTCGTTTTTCGGGACAACTCACTTGGAGATTTTCTGTTCTGGTCGTTATTTTTTAACATTGATTTTTAAAGATCGAGTCCGGTAAATCTAAACTCTATTGGGTATCTTCTGGTTAGGTTTCTAAATTGTTAAATTAAAAATTTCTAAATTAAAAATTGTCCTCTGATTTTTCGAAACCTGCACGTATACCGTCAACTTTGGTGAAAAAAGAGGTTCTATTATCTCGGCGGACTTCGAATGCGTGAACACGGTGGATAATAGCTCTTCACTTAGATTTTAAAGATTATGTAGTGGTTTTCGCCATAATGAAGTTGCCGTTTTTATACAGAAAAGTTTCCTTTTTGACGATCAATCTGCCAATGTCTTTCCACTTACATTATATATGTGATAAAAGACAGAGTTTTAGCAGCCATACATATATATCTTCTACAAGAGTAAGTATAATTTTTTCTTTTATTATGCTCAGCTTGTTGGAGCGATTATTGGCGGGAATTCGTAATGGTTAACAGTGAGAAAGGAAGACCTTAGTTCACAACAGATAATCCTTTTGCAGCGTCGTATTTTAAATAAATGATCCTTAGCTTGTATGTGAACTCTTTTATTGCGTTGGATCTATTTGTTTGATCTACACATTACCGAAACTATTGATTTACCTGATCGCTGATTAACGGGAGACGCTCTTTTAAGAAGTTCGTCACGGGTATTTTTCTCATTATCGCTCTCAGTGCTCTTATCCTGCCTCATGGCTGCTTTACTGACGTATTGTAGTTTGGACCCTTTTCTTGCCTGTGCGATTTGTTTTTCCCAGCTATGACACGATCGTGTCCTACGGACCGCCTGCTGTTTACTCCATTGAAGTAGACAACGGATAGAGAACGGCGGCCACAAGACCGAAAGCAGCAGACTGCAATATCGCGGTTACTTCCTCTCCTTTGTGCACGATGGATACGACAATCACTTTAAACGATATTGTTAACACTGGATAGAAAATCATGGCGTCACCTACTATATATATATATATATGCAAATATACGTAACATGAATATATATATATATATATATATATATATATATATAACTAGTACGTGACACATATAAGTCAGATGAAAGCAACAAGATTGGCCTGATCAAGATTTCCGAGAATATGATTAAATTCAGAAAGCATCTCAAGTGACGGTACTCTCAGCAGTAAATGATGATAGCCCTTGGTGCGTTGTTATCTCTGCTTCTGTCTTCTAGTTTATTGGGTGGCCCTTGAGCACCAATTCTATCTGCGCATTCTGGTTGGGGTCAAGCTTTCGAAAGATACATTGAATTTACCCCATGTCATCATGCCCGCCGGTAATAAAGTTCAGAACGAGGGAGTAGGTTGCAAGCAAAACGGTGTGCAAAGAAAGAAAAGGCCTATTTTTTTGCAGCTGTTCGAATTAACGTCGACCAAGACAGTCGTCTAGCGCGTTCTGAAAAGTGGCATCCCCTTTCCGACCATTTTAACTTGTAATCTTTGAATATATAGTCGTAGTCAGTTTGATTGTATGTACAAAATTTGGCCAAGATTATTATTCTGATAGAAATGACAAAAGGGGGAAGCTCAAACGTCGTTTTGTGCGTCTACAACCATAACGACCGTAAATTTAACCCGAGCCGAAGAAACAAAAAGCCAAAGAAAAAAACAACAGAAAGTACGTGAGTTACAACTCACTGTAGGACGGCATAAGATAGCCAAGTGCTGCGATGCGGGCTCCACGAAGGCGTCAACTGGCATTGTCCGGGTGGAACCCCAGCTTGGCAAGCAGTCGACGTTGCTTGCCTCGAATCATCTTGCGGTAGTGGAATACCAAATCCAAAGGCCCCTCCTCCTTTTGATTAATATATATATATATATATGCTTTTTGTTCTACTTCTTCTTTCTAGCTCCAGTTCTATGGTTTACATAGGAAAAGCACCATCAGCAATAGCCAATAGCAGAATCGTTTTGGCCACTGTCTGTCGCTTGTTGCGCCTGCAAACTAGCCCTTCTCCTCACATCGGTCCCTTTATGATGTCGTCCTTTGGTTCGGTCACGTTTTTTTGGCCTTCGGCCATGTCTTTTCGGAGCGGGTCCCGTGTGGGGATAGTCCACGAGATGACAATGCTAAAACAGCCGCAACGTAAACAGCTGGTAAACGTATGCTTGTCTTCCTCGTCGTTTTTTAGTTTTTGCCATAGCAGTTTTCCTAGTACGCCGTATAGGTGCCCATCGGATAGTGCGTATATTAATCACTTGAGTTCCTTCATTATGTTGCATTGGCCAGCTTTGGCCATGTGATGTTTTCAATGTATTTTCACCTTTATTTTGTACGTCCATTCATCTTCTCGAGTAGACAGCGGAACAGCAGCCGGTTACTAATCTATACGTTAGCTAATTTGATAAACTATGGGTTGTGGCTCTTCTGTTGTTTGTTATGTCCACTTGGTAACTAGCTTTAGAATTACTTAAAACTGTGTTTAATGTAAAATTCATCAGTTATAGCCATGGTCGCACCTGATTAAATCAATCAAGATCAGTCAAATTCAAGATGGATATATGTCACTCAATCGCCTGGTAATATATCTGGTCAGCGCAAGTTCTAGTCGTATATTTGTAATCACTGCTATTATCGCCCCGTGAAACAATAGATGCCCCTATGGTGCAAAACAATTAATTTGTTGTCGGCAGCCGAGGTTATAACACGCTGCATAAAACACATCAATGGGCGTTGCTAAGTACTCACGGCAGGTTTCACTCTCCAGGAACTGCTGGGCGCATTTGGTACCCAAGTTGACGTCTCCAGACACCTTCGAAATAGTTGACAAATCAACCCCCGCACCTTCAACAATACACCTAATAGAAAACCATGAAATTGGTTAGTAATTCATCAAACTCTTCACTTTATATCTAAGTGTTTTGTTGCTGATAGGAATCGGTTCCGTGTTGATATGCGCAAAAAGGTCGCAAACTACAGCGTAAATGTCCGAATCCGGACCACTCAATTTACCAGTAGATCTTTATTTAGAAACCTAAATTCGGTCTGTGATTTGTTCTTAATTTTGTGCTCTTAACGACGTCTATTTTAGCGATAGAGAGCTTTTGTATCCACATCATGTATAGGCGCTAATTAGGATCAAGCACCGTTTTGTTGGTAGATGAATACACGTAGCAATCGATTGCACGTACAACGAGTTTAATGGTCGTATATACTTTCAACTCAGTCTCGACTATAATTTAAAACGAACCCGGTAAATTCATCTCCGATAACTGTAATCAACTCCGCTGCTTTCGAAGGATTACTCTGAAGTGATTCTTGAAGAAGATATGTCCGAAGGTTACCGCCAGATCTACCCGATTCAATAGAAGCAGCTGCCGTTGTTGCCAGAACAAGCGATGTATTATCGACATGAAGTACGAGAGCTCCCAATCGTCGGTGCAAATCTACATCGTGCCATCTGAAACATCATAGTGGTGCTTAAAAATTTTTTAACTTAAGGACTTTACCTAGATTACGCTCAGCATTGCTTTGGTTATTTGTCCTCTAATTTGTCTCCTGACAGGCTGTAACAGAACGACGTTTTACAAACATTTTTATTGGTGTTTCCAGTTTATTATTTTAGGACTAACTTGCATTAAGACGTTTCTTGTGCCATTGTGCAACCACTCTAAGATGATCTATAGAAAATTTAACCAAAGTACAAAAATGTAAAATCGAAAAAATACGTATTAAGAATTGGATAACGTCTTAGAAGTTCTTTCGGATTTGCTATGCATAAGTTAGGTCGAAAATTCCATGATTTCACTCTTGAAGTTACAACCAGATATATAAATGCATGCAAAAGTCGTACGGGTACGTTTTAAACAATACATTCAAATTTATGTTACAATTAAGCTACTAACTTTGTGACATAACTTCAGTATATATAGTACGGACCTTCGAGGCTTGGAAACTCGTCAAACTCTAAAATTAACTATATTAATGAAGACCGAACTACAGGAATCAAAGAAGAATCAGTGAAGCAATCTTATGCGATTTTCGTCCTTAAGGCTATCGCCATCTTAGTCAGGACGACGTTGCTAAATGTATTAGTACTGTCACTGCTGATACCTTCAGCAGCTATCCTAAAGAAACCATTCCATTTCTGGCGAGTATAATACAATGGATGGCTGCGTAACTTTCTCGCCCCTAGTGGCATGAGCTGGCTTAGAGAGAGAGAGAGAGAGAGAGAGAAAACGATGCCGTGATGCATAAACTGACTTTCTGGTTTTGTTTATGCCGACGAGGGCAGTGATAATATTGGACAACCACATATAAAGCGCGGTTATATATGAATACGATAATGGATTTTAATTAAGAAGAAACAGGTCCTATTTAGAACGTCCTTGCCTCTATTGTTTCTTCTGAGACCTTATTAAACGAATGTAGAAAGTGATTGTTATTTCACTGCTACTGCTATTTCATTCAGCGCCAACCAACTACGAACCAACGCTGCCGACGTACCTTTAATTGGTCAGTTCATTAAATTTTAGTAAACGACGAAAAAAAAAACACACGTACGTACAACAACCTTAAAAGAAGCTTTAACAAGTTTCTTCCAACTATTCCTTCATAACCAGGTTATTTACTAATTGTGCTCGAAACTAAAAATTTAGGATTTTCTTAAGAGTTAGCACTCACTATATTGCCCAACAACCTTTACACAAACGGATGTGTATACAGTACGGTCATGGGGCGTGTGTACACCCACTACCACGTGTGCACACTTTTGTTTTCTAATCAAAGGAGCTAAAATTTTGTGAGATATCTCTCAGAATGGCCAGAGTGCTATTATTCCAGGTGAGCAACCCCCCTGTCACAACGATTTTATATATTATAGACAACTTATAGCATTGCTGAAACGAGTGGAATAAGTGGCAATAGCAAACTAAAATCCATCGTCCAGCTTGGGCTTCATTGAAACCGTCAATATTACGGAATAAGCAGAAATAAGTTTGGCAAAATGTAATAACTTAGATTGCAACACGGTAACTGCTATTGATAATCATTCAGCTTCACTAACCACGCACGCCTAACAATGAGACGCCATCTCTTAGTGAGGCTACCTCGACAATGGTCAAATGCAATGTTTCTTACAACGACCAAAAGGTTCGAAATATGACAAAAGGACCAAGAAGTAAGTAGGACAACTATCAGATCTGAATAAAAGAGTTCTTCATACTCAGATTTGTTTTAAATATTCTATATAGAGTTAATAATAGCGCGAATCGAATTATGCAACGTTAGGGGGGGCTTTCAGGGCATCTGTTAACCTATACTTTTTGTATTACCAACTTCGTTAAGATTTCATTTCAGTGAAAAATCTCCTATACTATACTATTAATAATTCTAGCTTATACGGTGTGCACCGATTTCTCTTACCATGATTATTTCTGATCACGTAAATTTAAAAGAACAGAGTGATAATTCGAATTGTACAGTTTGACGTGGCGTCTGAAGTTTCCTAAAAAAAAAAATGATGTGCCCATTACGCTTGTCGCAAACACGAAAAACCATACCCTTAAACAGCAGAAAGGGTGGGGCACTGAATGGAAATAGCTGATTTTGTAAAAAATTAATACAATGACATATAATAAACAACAAATACAGCTGTCCTCTTTCGTGTTGCTACAGCCCGATAATGTGTGTCGTGCTGGTGCTTACTTAAAATTACCGTAGTGATCTTTGCCAGCTCGAAAATTGTCTTACAACTGGATACAAACTTTTCAGAAGTCGAATAATTCTGTTGAATATAGCAGAAGCGTGAAATTATTATGCATAAACCTTAAAAGTTCACTCAACTTTTTTGAGTACTAACCTAATAAGTTAGATAGTGGGAAATACTGTAGCTGATTTATGGCCGATGATTCATATGAATGTGGCACGTACCTGTTGTCGAGAACGTTCAGCCCTACGTGCACAGTCTCCTGTCGACCTCGGACTTTCCAACTCATTTGAATTGCTCCGCTTTCCAAGACTTCAATTGTAACCTGGAAATGGGCAGGCATTGCGTCTGATATCATGAACGTTTATCATCGATATAAGCAGCGAAATTACACAATGAAACACCCATACCGTTGTCAAAAAGTATATCATTAAAACGCAGAGTTTGAGGATTGATCATGGCAGTTCTCTTTTTTTGGAAGAAGCACATTTCATGTTGTGAAATACTGTAACTTCTTTGGAAAACTATAATTTAACTTGTCTTAGTCGCTTTGCATCGCTCTGAAATAAAATCTGGGTTATAAATTTGGTATTATACCTCTTGACCTCCGGCCCATCGCTGTTGGAGAAGCCGTCCTCCACCTTGGCACGTCCTGGAATATCATTCAGGCAGCATATCAGTAAAGTCTGTCAAGAGACATCGTGGCAAAGTCAACTCCAAGGTAGAACAGTGTCAAACTACAGACAGCTTCGCTATCTCTGATCTACTATTCCTACTATAAATAAGTTCAAGATGAAAATAATTAAAAAAAACTGTTGTCCTTATCGTACACTTAGCCGTTGATGGTCAACGATCTTTTAGTACGAATATTATTTTTGGTGTCCTGGAATACCTGAAGGCGAGAGTTGTTCGAGTCCTTTGAAAAATAGTCATAGATGCGTTGAGCGTAAGCGCACCATGGCCATCGAGGAATACCTCGGAGGGGGCGGCCTGAACCACCATCCATACTGTGCAAATGAAACCCAGAAGTTCTGGAAGAATGGTCGCCAGTCGATTTCTAATCAGGTACATATCTGTGATAACAAACAAGAAAAATATGCTTCTTGATTAGGTCATCTTTGTTTGAAGTTTGAAATGTTTATCGTATAATTACTGCCTATGTTACCATTGTTTAATAAAGCAATGAACCCGATAACCCGATACAGAGTAAGCAATAAAATATATAATTATATTTTTTTGGCAGCAAATATACTTAAGATAGCACAGTGTTACTGTCAGTAGACATGCAGGTAAGCAGAACATGGATCTCGATAGAACCTTACTGTTTTATTATTTTAAAGAGCTACCCGTCAGCTATTACAGAAATATTTATTTTATATACAGCAAGGTGTTTCTCTTAAAAATAATCAAATGGCAAGATATATGCACAAGCGTAACAGCTCATCTACACTTTAGTGCTTTGATAAGTTTACGTGTTTCCATGAAGAATGTTTCCCTTGGCTCAAAATATAAGAAACTGCATTTACTTCAACACGTATAAGGGTTCTTATTTACATAACTACATTATTATAGTCAGCATGCAGAGAAGGAAGCTTGGTCCAGCACCGCCATTGGGGATATCGAGCCAAAAATAATTGAAGTAAAGAGCACCTTTGCAGGTTTATTTGGAGCTCTCTTCGCTTCCCCGCTTTTCGTATAGAGTCACGGCACCATATCGAAGTGTAGGACTCCCGTAACTTTAAAATGAATCTTGAAATCAAGTTTACAGCGGTGTGAAGCTGCACAGAACTTCTGTTCCGTTTCGTATCGCAGTCTCATAGTTAACTCTGATTTGTTTCGGCGTCTGGTAATCTTGGTATTCTAACATTTTCTCGCTTTTGTGATATTCTGTAGAGAAAAAAACTTTAGTATAGCAATTTATGACTGGCCATGCGTCACCAACACCCACAGAAATTCGTGAAGATGTTGCATGCACTCTTCCGCTCCGATGCTCAACGATCGGATTGAACAGGCGAAAATCAGCTAGCAGCAATACTCCCACGGTAAAGTGAAGTCGTCGTCGTCCTCATTTATCCTTTCACTCCTTGCACACACAGAGTCAAATACAGTCAAGCATCCTTTTTTTTTTCAAAATGTTCTAACCGCTCTCGTCTCTCGCTTGAAGCTCGCGTTCTTGAACATTGTTGCTACGGCCTACTAGCCGAACGGGTCGACGTTTCGCCCAGAGAATGACTAAGCTGACCACAACGCGCAATACCTACCCATTCGGTAGCAATATAGAAAACTATTCAGGCTAGAATAATTGTTGGTGATTCCGTTTGACGGCTCACCTAATAGTCACCTAATTCCTAATAGTCATCAGACGATATTAGGTCTACACGTCCGTTGAACCAATTTCAAGAGTGAAAAAATTCTGTGCGCGCGCTTTTCGAATACTCGAAGACCCGAGAACGAACTGTGTCTGTCTACGCTTGGTTTCTCACCTAAATCGTCACATTTTCTCATGTTTATTGCGTAAACACGGCGTTAGAATTAAGTTTTTATCCGAACTTCTCTTTTTCGTAACATTATAACTTACATAAATGCGATGAAAATGAATATTGGTCAATTGATAATTGCCATTAAAACAGCTAGCTGGAAAACGTTTCCTCTAAGGACGACCGCTTCGCAGATTTGTGAACGGATATGTACATATAAGGTACAAAAGAAAGGCGCAAGCCTAAATATACGTTTTATGCGGTTACCAACGAATATTTTATTAATTAGTCTTTAACTGCATATTGCACACTAAAGCGGTAGAACTTTTCGGTATTCTATCGTTACGCTGAGCTCGGTCAAAATCCGTTTTTTTCATTTGGATAACCTGAGTCAAGTACAAGTTAATCTACGAGAAACCGCCAGACGAGTCGATGCACAGAAAAGTGTGTAAGCCGTTGATTCACTGGACAAAGTTTTATAGCTCCGGAAGGTAACGATAATAAGTAACTCCCAATTCTTCCAGCGTTTAAGCACTTGATACTTAGACCCAGCTTCCTTATCGTACTAGATAACAAGAATTCGTGTCGTATAATACTAGAGTCAAAGAAGCGAGATAAAAACCCAGATTATACCTTATAGAAACCCTTATATGCTCACTGCTTTTCGCACGACACCCGATACGCTCCAAGGATCTCCGAACTTCAGTCCGACAGGAAATGATTTGCTTAGGTGAAAAGACAAGCCTCAGACAAGCAATATTTTAGATGGCCACTAAAGTACAGCGTCAGCATAGGTCCTTTGAACAGCAAGGAGAGATACACATACATGAACTACTATTTACAAATACGCCCTACAGTCAGTATTACCAAAACAGAAATGCTTTGGCAGATTGGAAGATGAAGATGTTTAGCGCAAGTATGTGTCACAGTTCAGACTACGGATAAGTTTCGGGGAACTTGCTTGAAGCTGATGGTTTTAGCTCGGCTTCGACTGAGGCTATAGCAGGGCTGCTGACATGAAGTATTTAACAAGTTGCATGTTTACAACCAGACATCCATGTTAACGATACTTTGCAAACGTCTTTATAGCGAAGAATTCGTGTAGAGATTACAGATTGACTTGTGATCCTTCGGAAGTCCGGCGACAGCAAAAAGCTTGTTGAGTGAGCACTTGACTTAAGCCACAGGCTTGAATGAAGCGGAGGGAGACGATACAAACTCGTACCCGACAAAGGTGGGTGAAGAGAAATCCTAGGAATATCATAAAAATGCTAACGGACATATATGGACGGTGCATGCGAATGGTACACCTGATCCTATACCATCGCAATTGTTGACGCATAGAAAACTTACATTTTCTTTGAAACGCCGTTCAATCACTTACCCATTGAATTTAGTCCTCGAATTTATGACTTATGATTTTTTATATCTCAGTAAAAGTATTTGCTGTACCTTTAATTCGGTAAAGAAAGATTCATCGTGCACACTCAAATTAAAAAATAATATGTTTTTCCTTTACCTTTTTCTTTTTTGAATAAATTTGTGCCTGTGTGCATCAACTAATATGTACATGCCCCCTAAGCAATCTGTATACAAACAAAACGTGCCTTAGCATCGATATGGGGCAATGGCCCAGACTTCTGATTTCGGATAGAACTAGGGTCTGGTAGATTAGCAAGTGTGCTCTGTCTGCCTCTTTGACTCAATGGTTGAACAATCGTTTCTGTTCGGGAATTACCGAGCTGACGCAAAATTCCTTTAGCATGACCATACAAGAAAACAGGCAGAACAGGCCGATCATCTCGCACAACGCGAACCTACAAAGGCATCTGATTAGGGATCTGTTCTGAGAATGTGGATCCAACTGGCTTAGACTGAAAAGCTCATGTGGACGGTACAACCCTGTAGAAGTTCCCGATTTGCATCCTCCGTACGCTTAATACTGCGCTTAATAGAGCTTCATCAGCTCATGCAGACGATGGTATTAGGTAACAGAACACAATTGAAATGGCATGCACAAAATACAATGCTAGGTCTACAATAACTACTATTAAAATTATTGGTTTCAACTCAAGTGTTGCAGGCACACAGCTGCACGTCCTGGGATAGTGCGGTTCGGCAGTACGTCTACGCAGTTGTGAATTTCTGAAGAAGGAAGAACTCTGTATATTTAAAACCTAATTTACGTTCGTCGAGTACATCCTTCGCTCTGATTGCTCCTTAAATAAATAAATTAGAAATATATTTCGACCTTTATGATGCTCAGAGGTTATTTTAAACCAGAGGGAATAGTCTTTGTTTCGATAAGTTGCGATCATGCACATTATATATCATATACTCAGTCCTCTAATACTTCAAAAAAGCCCATTATAGACTAAAGGGCTGTGGTATCAGCCAGTCCTTGGACAGAGATGTCATTTTTTTTTTTTTAATCAAAACATGCTACGAAAAAATGGCAAAGTGAACTTCGTGGTGGCCAATATGCTGCCGACCAGTCTACGTCGATTCGGTCAACTCATGCCGGGGCTCAGGATGATCCTGCCACAATGCCTAGTTATAGTTTTTGGTCGTTGTTATTTCGTGTCGACATGGCCCGCTCGCTTTTCTACTTCCTCTCCTGACCTAAAGTGCCGCCATTTCTAGTAATTATGGTCCTTTCGTCTATGCTTGCCCTATCACGCCATTTTCTTTCGGTTTAGTGGTCCCTGCATTTCAACTAGCCATCGAACGAGAGTCTGAGAAGATCAAATAGACAGGAACTGCCAAAAGCTCAACGGCCGGCCAAAGTGAATAAAAAGCAATCTTTGCTTTCGTCAGTTTACAAGCACGAGCACTTCTGCAAGCGCCGTCAGGCAGTGTGCAGTTCCACGAGCGGCGTCGTCGCCACTGGCTTCCCTGAGCCGCTCCTTTCATCATTCAGCCACGACTTGTACCTTTATTTTGGGCTTCTGGCCTCCGTAACCGCCGTCACGACCAGACCCAGCAAAGGCACGAGTGGCAGCGACAACAACGTATGGTTCTCTGTTCGCTGGCTTTTGTCGCTGCTGTATTTGTCTGTGCGTCTGCTGGTTCTATTGTTGCTAACACAACTAAGCAGACTCCCCTTGCAGTTTTCGTCTATTCTGAGTCAGCGTGTGCGCACGGCTATATATGCAGCACGTTGCGTGTGTGCATGTCTGTGCGCAGATGTACACCATTCGTTGCTGCTTATTCTATTCTAGGTTCTTTGCAGACAACACGCAAGACACACACACGTCTGCTTGTGCTCTCTTTGCTTGTTCTCGCTCTCTTCAGTCTCAGCTCCTCCTGCGCATGAGCCTGTTTGCCCCTCATTCTTCCAAATCGATTGATCAACGTATGGCTTCGATATTCGGACTGCCTCACACTTGTTTCTCTGTCGTATCTGGCTAAATGATCTCTACTCCTGCTTGAATTCTTCATTGGTCTGCTTATTCGACTTTCTACAATAGGACTTGAATGTTCTCGCATCATGTGGATCCTCGCAGCGATCCGCATCGATTCCCGGACTCCGCTCCTTGGGGTGTTCTGTAAGTTCCAACTGCTCGATACCCAAGCCGTTTGCTCTTTCGGTCATC